TATAGACAACTGATGCTGCACAACTTACCAGGAACAACCGATGGAGAGGTTGCTCCGGTACATTAGAGGGATTCTGCAGCTCGACATCATCATGCGTACTTGCGATGCTAGAAATTCCCTTACGGCCGATAACCTGAAACCCTGTGGATCTACTTAGTAACTTTATAATAACAAGACAAGGCGTAAGGCGTGCAACATCAAAGTTTCAAGAAACCTTGATGTATATTACATTGCTGCAACAATACCACCAATATTGGCCTCACGTACGCACGTATGTGTGTAACATCGGCATTTAGTGGCGTTCCTGTCATTGCTTGGTTCAATCTATAACTGGGCACTATCAAGCTTCAATTTGTACCTTTTCTCCTTAGCATGATCTGTTGACATTAAGAAAATGCACTTGCAGATTGCAGACGGACACCGATCCTGGATACTTGTACAGCCGAACAGACACAAGGCTATGGGTGAAATTGAAATCTTGTAGGACGCATCCACGCTGGTGTTGCGGCTGCTGAGAACCGAAGCATATTTCAGGGGTCAGCTATCAACATATCTTGATAACTGGCTGCAGGATAGTCTGTTTTATCTAGGGAACCCAACCGCATAGATGCCCAGTGCTATACTATAGAATGCCCAAATTTGCGTACTCAAGTCGCAATCTAATTTTCTCCCAATCAAGGAAAACACCATATGTTGGGGGGCTTTGAAGTATTTTTTGTGTACCTCTTATCTTATGCTTTAAGAAAATGTAAACAAGCTTCATCCAGCCTTAACAACGCTGTCGCCCCTATCCAACAACTCATGTCTATCCACTTGGGTGTGACAGAATGAACATGTAGTTTTCCCTCCTGCAGTATGTGATTCCAAACACATTGCGTCGACCCATACCACGAATGCGCAGAAGGTATACAAGAAAGCATAAGGTGCATACTATGCAACCCTCAAGAAGCATTATTTCATCATCATACCAGTCATTATTACTCTTATCTCTCTGTATATTGCATCATGCGTATCGTGTATGTATCAGGTCATGTCGAATGCAAAACAGCAGAGCGAGGAGGTGCCACGTGGCAAAATGCTGTAGATACTGCTGCTGCGTTTCTCTCTACAGGTAGGCGCTAACAAGAAGCTACGCAATAAGGTAGATATGCAAACCGCAGTCATACATAATACTCGAATGAAAGCTTTTGGTAGTGGTGGATGCTCAGGTAGTCGGCTGTGTGCCGCTAGACGTCAGACATGGCTTGCATCACTGTAAGCCCTGGCCTTCGCCCGTCCGCATGCCCCATGAGAGGCTTTCAGATAGGACATCAAGCACGTGCATACATACATACATACATACATACATACATACATACATATACATGACTTGCAAATCATCACCCTACTGTACCAAGGCATTGAAGCTGGGAATATAATCCTACATTGACGCTGTTGATTATCAGCTCATACATGATACCAGTTCAAGCTACCCTAGCCGCGTATTTCATTGCTGTTTTTATGATCACACGGAGCCCATGTTTGCAATTATGTAGTGGTGCACTGCCAGCTACAAGCAGTCTCATTTCCTTGACCCACTTTACTCAACCTCATCCGGCACTATATTACGCAAAAATTTCTCCTCACGCCATCCGGAAATATTTAATCACAGCTTTGTGTAACACAGTGTCTGCGCTATCTTATACATTACTGAATAACAAGCTATGCGGTGGGCTGTTATGGTTACGAAATGAGCGTCAGTGCCGATAATTATTCCGTATCACCATCTACCAGGTAAAGAATTCTCACCCATCAATCGAGGAGGGGATGCAAGCGCGTACGTGCGTATGCTATTGAGAGGTCCTGGCAGTGGCCCAGGGCTATGGGAATTGTGCGTGGTCCATGGACCCAAGGTGATGCGTATCTGTTCCTCCAGTGTTGATAGGCTGTTCAGCCCATTGTGGAGTCATGTCACTTATGCGACTACATGAATAAATTTGGCAGACTGTCATGCAGTGATGTATCCTTGAAAATATGCACTTCAAGGTAGCAATTAATCCAAGTCTTCGTACCAAATCGCCAGTTCGATTAAATTTGAGACAAGGTCAATACTCTTTTCAGATCTGTCAAATTCATTTATTGATTCTTTACAAAATTGGTTAGACACTTGATAAGAAGCCCATTTTACTCGAGTCACGTACAAACACCATCATACACAACAAGTCATATCAATCAAGAATTGAATTGATGGAACAAAGCTCTCAGAGCGAAGACATTAAATAAGCGTTCCTGCAGACGTAACCATTAAAGTATCTAAATGTATCTAGGACGAATTGCTGTTATCTGCGCACGAAAACGCAGAATCAATCGAACCATCTCTGTACGCCTCCTTTATCTGAACAATCACGCCATATGTACCTCCGACAGTCAGGAATGCAGAGAGACCGATAAGCCCAACGTGCAACAAGTACATCATCTTTTGCTGAAATGATCCTCTCCAGTGGTCGCGGTGGTCGTAGATCCACAGCCAACCCGGATAGCCAATTCCCAGGGGAGCAAATGCAAGACTTCCGGCAAGACTAAGTAGATAGTTGAAGATGGGCACTCCCGAGGCAATCAGAAAGCTGACAATAGTCATTCCGCCTACACATCCAAACCATGTGCCCCAATGGACAAATGTGTTAGACTGCAGATGTCTGGACTTGCGCAGGATTCTGACGAAAATATACTTGGCACCAATGTGGACGTATAGGGCGCCACTGACGAGCAGTCCAATGATACCGATTCCATACGCCACCTTTTTGATGGTAGGTCCAGCACTGCCCAGGGACGGCGAAGCAACCCATTTACCACACCATTTGTATACAACCAGACTGAAAGACAGATAGGCGGCACCGACAAAGGTCATGCAGGTCATTACGGACCTGCTAAAGTGGCGGGGATTGCGCATTTCTGACATGACGGGCAGGAAAGCAGACGTGGCTGCCGAGGAGCAGAAAATCGTACTTGCGGCTGTAATGCCAGCTGCAAATGTTGGATGACCAATGACATGGTATCCGAAATCGTAAGGGCCGGTTTGAGGTGCTGCAGCGGGGCGATCGAGGGTGGTTACTCCAACTCTGATGTTTGTGTAAGCCGAGTATCAAAAAAGGGGAAAAAGATTATCTGCTGGCATGCGCCGAGCTGACTAAATCAAAGACGGAGAAAAAAAACTTACACGACGATGAAGACGGCAACAAAGACTGATATAAAGCCAGCCCAAGTGATCCAGGCAATCTTCTCAAACTTCCTCACACTCGCACAAAGGCCTACCATCAACGTTGCAATAAGGGAAAAGTAGTTTGTGCACAACGAATGGTTGGAGAGCGCGTTGAGTGCAGTCGATACACCCACAATCCCCGATGCAGCCACAATGACGAAGGCAACCAGGAAGAGAATACCGGTGATTTCCTTGACAATAGGCCCGCCAACAAGCAGACCCATATCAGCAATCGAATGGCACCCCGGGTGCCGCATGCGAAACTGTCCAAGGACCAACGCAGCCCATGTATTGACAGCTTGCCAGCCGATGACATTGATGGCACCAGGCAAAGCACCGAGGACATACATGGCCGAGGGAATAGTAAGCACACCAGTTGCGAAGATGACTGAGTTGCACAGTCAGCGATTTTGCAAACATTGCGCGAAACGTTGACATTCACAACGAAAAAAAAAAGAATAATCAAGTCTTACTCTTCAACAGGATCATAGTCGTCTGAATCCATCCCACGGTGCGGAAATCCTCATATCCATCCCCCTTCTTGAACACCTCGTTGTCATTCTCAAGGTCGGATTTGGCCTCACCGATACTTCCCGAGCTATGGCTCGGCGCCGGCGCAATGACATCCTCGTTCTTTTCAGCCATGGTTCGCACGCGAGGACTGGGCGCAGAAACAAGGGCAGGCGCAGGCGAGGGAAGAAGTGGCCCAGAAAGAGAAGGCCGTATATGTATACCCTCTGATATACAGAAAGTTGAAGGAAGGAAAGGGCCAAGATACCAAAAAAATCGAATAAGGTGACACTCAATTTATCTAAGCGCTTTTGCTGGGTTCCGCGGGCGGGCAGTGGGCCCCCACCCCCTCCCGTATGTTAATGTTTGAATAGATCGCACAGGCACCCGGGTGCACCCTGGATGGGACGCGAACTCACCGTAGGAACACCGAAGACTAGCATGGGTTAATAGGGGACCAGAGCAGGTAGGCCGCGTTAGGCGAGTTCTAGAGCCAGTGGCTTGGATGGGATTTCTAGATTTATTTTCTGCAGTTACTTGAGTAATGTCCTTAGGATATAAGGAGTTAGCATTTTTTCTTAGAATATTCTTAAGCAGACTGTATTTTTGTTGTAGTAGGATAGATATGTTTAATAAAGATATCTGGAAGCAAAACCCTTGGAGAACTTGCTACCCCGGTCTCCATTCGATCTCTCTCTCTTTCTTTTTTCACAATATTATTTACTCATATCTCTATATTCTTAGAAAACCGGTTTACTAAATATTTACTTGAAATATTCTAGCACTTGGCTCAATCTAGCACATTGGCACCCAGGCCACTCCACCAAAACCACCCAATCAAAGCAAGCAACCCCCCTCCCTCAGCGCGCTTCCCGTCTAGTGTGTGTGTGCGCGTCTACTTTACACCACGAGCAACACCCGCGCTCGCGCTATCGCAGAATCCGGGGGTGGGATGTGGGTCGCGGAAACTTACGGCCCGGAGGAGTTTGGAGGTGGCCCCGCTAGATAGGATTGCGCAGCGGGGCGGCACGGAACAAGCTACTCCAAAACGTTGACGTGTCACAACCCTGCAAAAAGGAAACCCGGGATCAAAGGACTTTCGACCCGCTAGTCTGCGATGGAGTGAGGATTTTGCCCTACTCCTACTTACACACGACTTACCCATTACTCCAATTCGATGGATACAAGGAATATCCTGGGGATTTAGTTCGTTGGAGATGATTGACGGGTAGGATGGTACATTGTGTAAGATTGCTAAATTGATGCTAAGTTTTGTTGTCGTGGGTTGTTGTTGCGCGCCCGGAGGGTGACTACCGCCTATGGAAATGGCTCTATTGAACATGGTTGGTGACTCGCTATTACGAACGGCGTATTATGTAACAAGCGAACAACGATGTAGGGGCATTGAGTCAAGATATCTGAATGATTATTCTGCATCGAACCATGATGATTAAACCAGACTAACGACGCGATACAATCCAATATGATAACAAGACGGCTCTCAACTCGGCCGTGTCCTTTGCCTATTCCTTCAGTTTAGCTCCTACGGGAGCTGGAAGTAGGGCACCTTCAGCTGGCGCGTTCTTCTTCTTGAACTCGTCGGCCATCTGCTCCATAGTTACAAACTCGACGCCTTCATGCTTCTTGAAGTGTTCAATCAATCTTTCGTGCATGAGAAGTAGGTGTGGTCGCCCAGATACATCAGGATGAATTGTCAAAGGCTATTCATGTCATGTTAGCTACGGCTACGGGATAGCAGTATACGGTCTGGCGAAGACTTACAAAGATGAACTCATCATACTCTCGATAGAAGTAGTCAAAGTGGTCCCTCCAGAGATCTTCAGTGTCACGTGCATTGACAAAACCGTGGCTGTTTGGAGAGCCCTTGATGAACATGTGCGGTGGCAAGTCCTAGACGTTGCATGTTAGTCAATGTAAAGATCAAGCAGGTCATATTGCTCTTACATCAAGGTACCAATTGGCAGGAATTTCTACGAGGCCAGTGTCTTGGCCTGCAACTAATGGCTTCATCCAATCCTGGGCTTTCTTCTTGTAGTCAATCTTGGTCCATGAGTCGCCAGTTCTTAGATAGTAGGGTTGGCAATCATGGTGGCTCATGCTATGGTCATACTCAATGCCATATGAGAGCAGCAGCTCGGCACCTTCACGGCTTGTCTCCCACCTTTGACAACCATTAGCATGGTATACAGGCGTATCATGTCAAAAAGAATCATACCATGGGGCTACGCTGCCTCGAGGAGGCTTTCCAGCAAACTCGGTCAGCATGCGATATGTCTTGTCAAGAACGTCCCTTTGCTGCTCAAGGCTCATGTCAACAGGGTTCTCATGGCTGTATCCATGAAGGCCAATTTCGTGGCCAGCATCGCGCACAGCCGCCATATCCTCAGGGAACGTCTCTAAACTGTGCCCCGGAATGAACCATGTAGTCTTGATGTCGTACTTCTTGAACAACTTCAGTAGACGCTGGGTGCCAACGGTTCCCGCAAAGAGCCCACGACTGATGTCGCTGGTGCTGTCCTGTCCGCCATAGGACCCCAGCCAACCACAGACAGCATCGACATCTATCCCATACGAGATGAGGACACGCTTCTTGCCCATTGTTCCTGGATGACGTGGAAGGTGGGGGTATCTCTTGAGTAAGGTAGCTCTGATCGGTTCCGCAGGAAGTGTTATCAACTGAGGTTCAATGCGAATTAACAGGTTGACCGGCTGGGCCGGAAGTTGATCTGCTTATTACCTTGATACTGAGCCCTGAGAACTATCGCGGGGTAACGAGCAGATGGAGGGGCACGGCAGCCGATAGCGACTAGTCCGCTTGGTCACGGGAATCGGAGCCCTGTTACAGCGCTCGTCCCTGCGTACCACCATGTGTACCCTCGCTTATCTTATCGCAGTAACCCCAACCTCCAACCTCCAACCTCCAGTTATATCCGGTTGACCCAGAGGGAATGCATTCGGCCCAAGTGGCGGCGGTGTACACACCCCCACAGGGCTCTTGGTACGAGGCGTGTTGTACTGTAAAATGCCACGATGGCGCCCCATGATCTTTCGTGCATGTGCGGAGCCGATCAACGTACAGGGGGATGTTTGAGAGCATCGCCCAAGTTCGGTGACATCATTCCGAAAATGAGGAGCATAGCTTCTGGAAGCAGTGTGAAGAAGCAAATCAGCCTTGTCGGTGTATTGCGACTCACTGTGGAGGGAATGATATCATACGTAATGTGTTTGCATGTGGTTACTAGCTCCTGCTTTAGGGTCTTCAGGCGCTTTGAGCAAGTTGCACCAGAATTATTCCTACATGTTACCGGTACACGAGTCAGTCGGAAATATTAAATAACTAACTGCAGACACTCAAGGTCTGTAGGTAGAATTATATACCGTTGGAAAAGACTGATTGGTACTCTTTCGACGGAGCGAATATTGATAGACGATGCGCAGGTCGCTGACAACACACATACACCCTAGAGTCTAGCCGGTCCAATGACCATATTGAGAGTAGAGGGTTATTGCTGGTATTGAATGCGGTACCGCTTTTTCTGGGTGCCTGCCACTGTCTCTTCTGTAGAAGATGTGGCATCTGACAAGTGCCGAGGTGGAATTCCGTTGACCCCTCCACTTCAAGCTACCCGTGATTGCTGACAGCCTGGACGTCATACGATGGTTATGGGCAACCTTGTGGCAAAACCTTACCTTGTGCTTGAGCTATGTAGATATTCGAGCTAGAGATGGTCATGCTCTAAGCCGATCACAGCTCTATAAACGGATGAAAGAATCGCTTTTGGTTAAGGGCATGCAGCCGTTGTAGTCTAAAGAAGCTCGGAGCAGACAGGAAAAAGGACATGTATCCAGAGTGTCGGAAATCAACTTACGTAGATTGATGAGCGGTAAGTTAGTCATCTATTTGGGATGTTGAATCATCTGTGTTACAAGCTCATACTAGATGGACTAGTGTCGGTACCCACTTTAGCGTGCGTGCGCGAGTTGGGGTCTGTTGGAGAGACTATCACATCAGCATCCTTCGAAAAAAATCATCGACCCTCCACATCTTCAAATTCAACGCGATTGGCTGCATTGTACGTAAAACATTCCTACTTATAATAGAGAGTTGGATGCTTTATACATCGAGCAACTCAACGACTTTTCAACTGCGACACCAACCTTTTGAATCGTTTTCCTTTGTACAATCATACGTCATCTGTTCAACATGTCAGTCTTCTTTGACTCACCAGTCAGGTTTGTTTCGTTCTGATTATTGAATCGTGAAATTGATGGTATGCTGACACGTGTATAGTGAAAACCTTGTGGCCGAGGGTGAGGCAGAGTCGGTATTGAGCAGCATCGGCGTCACCAATGGAATATTACCCAACGAGTCACGCGATTACCAACAACTCCTGGCTGCCGTACATGATGTAGCTCAACATGTACTGGACTTGCCAGACTATGCAGCACGTGCAGACTTCAACAAGTACCCACGAGAACAACTCCATCGGCCATCAAAAGATGAGCAAGATTATGGCAACGCCTGGGCTCACAAATTCCTCATCCGCGGCAATCCGGAAGCGACTCTACTTCGAGGCAAGACTGTCTGTCTCAAAGACAATATTGCAGTTGCTGGTGTTCCACAATTCTTTGGAACAGACGCTATTCCGCCATGGACTTCCGACTCTGATGCCACAGTAGTCCGACGAACATTAGACGCTGGTGCTGATATTGTGGGAACAACAATATGCGAGAACTTCTGCAACTCAACTTCTTCATTTACTTCGGCACAAGGACATGTAGACAACCCATATGCAGAAGGCTTCTCAGCTGGCGGAAGCACGTCAGGGGGCTGTGCTGTAGTCGGCGGTGGACTTGTCGACATTGCAATCGGTGCTGATCAAGGAGGCAGTATCCGTGTGCCATCATCGTTCTGCGGCTGTAAGTATATTACGCTTGTTATACAGCGTCCCCTGATATGGCACTTGACTAATGTATCATGATAGGTGTAGGACTAAAACCTACTCACGGGCTAGTCCCATACACAGGCGTATCGAGTGGCGACCCAGTCAGTGACCACGCTGGGCCTATTGCGAGAACTGTCAAAGATGTAGCTCTATGCTTAGAGGCCATCAGTGGAAGAGACGACTATGACGATCGCACTCTCGGTGCACCAACACATGGGTCAACACACTACGCACAACGACTTCAAAACTCTGTCGCTGGATTCAAGATAGGCATTCTCAAAGAAGGATTCGAGCATAGGATAGTCGACCAGGAAGTGCGTAACACTGTTCAGAACGCGGTTGAATCTTTCAAGCGTCTTGGTGCCACTGTCGAAGAGGTGTCGTTGCCTCTCCATCTCGAGGGGCCAGCCATCTGGACTATTCAACAACGCATTGCTGGTACTCTTGGTATGCTAGGCTATGCACACGGGCGAAGAGGTCTATTCTCAACAGCCTATGAAGCAGCACGTCAACCATGGACAGACGAATCGTTCCAGAAACTCTTTCCCTCGACCAAGAATACGATGATCAACGGCCTCTCACTCATGCACAGCTATCCCGGTCTCTACGCGAAAACGATGAACATTGCACAACAACTGCGTGACTCATACGAAGAACTCTTCCAGAAGTACGACATTATCGTCATGCCCACAACGCCTTTTGTGGCACCGCCTAATGCAGACTGGAAGCGTGGAGATCGGCCCATGGATGCGCTCAAACCAAGCATGGGTATAACGATTAACACGGCGATTTTTGATGTGACTGGTCACCCAGCCATGTCACTTCCTGTGGGGTTTGCACCTTCGAATGCAGACACACAGGTCATACTGCCAGTTGGCATGCAACTGGTAGGCGGCTTGTGGCAGGAGCAAAAGGTGCTGGACGCCGCTTTCGCTTGGGAATCAGCAAATGATTGGAAGAAAATCGGTAACAGAATGGAGCAGGAATCGAAGCTAGCAACAAAACTTTGAAGCACCATGATGCATCATGGATCAGTTGGGCGATATCCTTTCAGTTTTGCTGAGAAGCAAAAAAGCTCTGTTCTTGTTGAAACTTATTTCGACCTTGATGTCGTACGTAGCTAGACTAATTGATTGTGTAACCACCATCGACAACGAGCGCATGGCCCTGAATGAACGACGACTGGGAAGAACACAAGAAAAGAACTGCATCAGCGACTTCTTCAGGCTGGCCCATTCGTTTCATGGGCGCAATGTCAATGGCTGGCTTCAGTGCCTCGACCATGGCTGGCGAAGTGGTGGTCATGGGTGTATCGATAACGCCTGGACAGACACAGTTGACGCGTATTCCGTTATCGGAGTAGTCGATGGCATTAGCACGGGTCATGTTGATAACGGCAGATTTTGAAGCGCAATAGGCGGCTACGTGTTTCTATTAGCAATTGGTTGTCTCTAGAGTCGGCCCTATTTTGGGAGGACTGACCAGCACCAGGCCTAGCGACCACACCAAGTTGACTCGCGATGTTGACAACGGCACCTCTCTGCTTGGGATGTTCTGCGAGAGGCTCTTGCTTGAGCATGTTCCTCAATTGAGCGCGGCAGCTGAGCCATGTGCCCCTGTAGTTGACAGCATTCAAGCGGTCGAAGAAGTCGGTGGGCATGTCGACTGCTTTGACAGTGTCACCCCCTAGGATCCCAGCACAGTTGACAGCGTAGTCCAGCCTTGTGAAGTGAGCGGCCACTTTGTCCATGAAAGCATCTATGAATTTCTCGTCGGCTATGTCGCCTGCTTGATCGAGGACACTCGCAGAGGGATTGATGCGCAGTATGGCATCCTTTGTGTATCGCAGCGTGTCTGGATTGATGTCGGTAATGGCGATTCGAGAGCAGCCAGAGCGTACAAAGCCCTGAGCGACAGCGGCGCCGATCCCTACATTGATAGTATGAGATGAGTATGCAATGTCCATGTCACGTGTTTCACACAACGACCGCCAACGTACCAGTCCCTCCCGCGCCCGTAACGACGGCGACACCAGGGAGCGATCTCACAAGCGATGACATGTTGGTGCGGAGAGAATGTGCTTACACTCCAGACTGCTGTATCGTGCTACTATACATGTGCCGTTCAAGTTGATCGACACATCGTTATCTCGGCGTGACCGCCAGCGTTCCAGGGGCTTGGAGTAGACGCTGAGGTACCCCGCACGCCAGCATCGGCCAAGGCGCTAAAGAAAGGGACACTTCGGGCGGGACTTAGCATAAGACCCACGTCGCTCCAATTTCTCTCCAACACTTGCCGCCACATGCATAAACTCACCCACACTTGTAGCCATTGCTCGAGAAGCTTCAAGCGAGCAGAACACCTGACCCGCCATCTCCGAACGCGTCGGTGCCTCCAATTGAGCGCTGCTTTGTTGAAGCAAGCCTACAGTAGCTGATGGAATGACCTAGATACCAGAGAGAAGCCCTATGCCTGTCGATGCGGCGCAGCCTTCACGCGACGGGACCTGCTTACCAGGCATTGGCGCATTACGCACCATGCCAACAGCCCTGATGCTGCCACGTCAACATGCTCGACAGAGACGACGACGACGACAGCAATTCATGTAGCCGCGCCTCAGCACCAAGAACCATCCCATGTGCACACAATCGCGTCTAACGCGTCGACTGTTCCTGCTACGGCGCCTGCCAACTCCCGTCTCGTCGTCCAGCCCCACTCAAATCATGTCGATTTACATGCCTCTACCCGCGTCTATCAGAACGCCCCGTCCCAGTTGATTCCCCAGGGTAAGTCCTACTCTTGTCCAACGTCAGCATGGCTCGGTGCGCAAGTAGCATGCTGAGTAACATTTTAGACCTGCCTCCACCGCCCCCGTATCGTGATGAAGGGCTCGATGACTTTCGCGACTTTGTCAATTTCATTGATGGCGTTGGCTTGTCGGCACAGTGGACGCCTGAGTATGATTATGACTGGATGCGAATTAGCGAGCATCAGCCCGAACCAACAAGGGCTTCTCGCGAGCCTCAAACATCTCAATCACCGGGTCCTGAGGATATCGGTACCCCTTTTAGCACATGGCTGCCATCGGCGCCAGCTGACGATCAAGTACACCTGAGACCACATACAGAAGATAGTAAGTCTTCTCTTGCAGCACTAAAACACAGCCGTGTTAACCAACCATTCGAGACCCCGGCAATGAAAGGACTAGAAGCGGAACTTATACTGTCACTGATGATCATCGCAACTTTTTGGTATCACTTCTCGGAGCCTTTCCTCCTCCTATATCAAATTTTGAAATCCCATCTCGACATACTCTTACACGCTACATTACCGCCTTTTTCGGCGGCTTCCACTCGCATTTCCCCTTCATACATGGGCCAACTTACAGCCCGTCGACATCGCCCCTGGAGCTGACCCTAGCCATGTGCGCCGCTGGAGCACAGTATTGCTTTGAGCGAAAGAGTTCGGAACGTTTGTTCCAAACCGGCAAAGCCATTGTTTTTGAGCGTCTACGCCTGGAAAAGGCGCACTTCAGCCCGCAGACGATGGCTTTGGTCAGTTCTAGCAATGATATCATGTCGGACGTTCCCCCTACAAGCAGACGGACAGGTCCATGGTCACCTCTTGATATGGCAAAAACATTACTCATCTTAGTGGGATTCGCCACATGGGAAAGGACGGGACTACTGCAGCAAGCTTTTGCATTAAGGGGATTGCTAGTCCAGGCGCTTCGGGACATTGGCCTTCAGGAACGCGAAACGTGTCTCGGTGGCACTTCTTCCAGGTCGGCCATGTGGGACAATTGGGTGCAGAATGAGTCCGCCAGACGTACGAAGCTTGTAGCATTCTGCTACATCAACGTACATAGCATCGCGTACAACATCAATCCATTGCTCTGGAGTAGTGAGCTACATTTACGGCTTCCTTGCGGTACACAGGAGTGGCAGGCTAGCAGCGCTGCACAGTGGGTGGCCCTACAACGTGATACCAAGGAAGAGCAAATGCTATTCCAGCAAGCCCTGTCCATACTCCTTCAAAGCTCAACAAACGAAGGTGAGTCACTACTACGGTCAATGATCCTAGCTTTCAGTGTGATGCTAATAGTTTCCCAGAGCAAGTACATCCCATTCCTAGTCCTATTGGTAATTACATCCTTTTGCATGCACTACTACAACGGATTCATGTGGTGCGCGAGCTTTCGTTTCCTGCAAATTCTCCTGCAACCATCTCGGTGGCTGAGATGCATGTAATTGGACGCGCTCTTCGTGGATGGACTTCACTTTGGCAACAAACTCCAGAATCCATGCTCGACCCAAATAATGAAAGCGGGTGAGTAGAAAATACGTGTAAATACTTCCATCTATGTGCTGACTTGTCAAGGCCTATCCCATTTACGTCAAGCGCACTTCTTGTGGTGGCTTATGTACGCCTCTCATTGAATATTGGACCGCATCGGCATCTGGAATCCCGCGATGCAGACGTTATCGCAGCCGGCCTCATGCGCGTTCCAGATATAGAGCGCAACGACATGCTCTTGTCAGCACTATTGTATTCCACTCATGCACTCAGTATCCCGGTGAGGCTTGGAATCGATCGAGTTGCTAGAAGCCAAGCTTTCTTCTGGAGTGTTCAGCACGCCATATCAAGCTTTGAATGCGCCATCTTCCTGGGGAAATGGCTCTTCTCCATTCCCAGGCCCTTTCGTGAAGATATGTTGTCTCGATCAGAGTACCGTATCTTGCATTGGGTGCGCTGTATCACCAATGAGGCGTATACGGTGATTGACTTTGAGGATACCGAGAACAGTGATGGCCTTCTACGAACTCCTATCGACCCAGCTGTGCTTGGCCTTGCAGTTTTAAACATATGGTCTCGTTTCTTCCGTGGTAACAGCCAATGGCAGTTTGTTGTAAATTTGGGGTTAAGCTTGGAGAGGTATATCAAACTAATTACGTAGATGTCCTAGTCTCTATAAAGACCTTTGTCCGAAATACCAAGCTTCACCACATATCTGTCAGCCCGTAAATCAAGTGTAGTTGCAGTTACATCAGTGCTGACGTTATATGAGCGAGGAATCTAAGAGAGCCCTGATGTCAACTAAGACTGTACTTGAAATTCTTGTCACTTAAAAAGGGGCGTGTAGAGCAGGCTGGACTGCGCTATTCTTGAGTTCGAGTTGAGGCATTTAGCCAAGATAAGATCTACAAGTTAAGTAAGTTGTAGGCTTTGGTTGGCTGGATTTATAACAGGAGGTGGGCTAGTATCTTATCGAAATATTCACTAGCGTGATCCATGAGGAGCGAGTGCGAGCGGTGCGGTGTCTTGAAGTTCCATGCAAGATGTGAAGTCGAAGAGATGGTTTCCTCCTGTTCTGTAAACATGCACCCGTATTTATTCGATGTGAAAGGTACTGGAAGCGAGGAAATACCTGTCCAGGTTCATGTGGCAGTATACGAAGGAGCTTGTTCTTCAAGAGACAGAATAGGACGATGTTGGTGGCCTGTGCGCCGAAGCTGTTTTGTCACTTTTAACCAGCTTCGAATTCATGTGACTTGGAGCTTTATTGCCTGGCTGATGTTCATGTAGAATAGAAACCTCGGTCGCTAAGTATATCTATTTCTCGAACATCACATAGGATGGTCCGGATTCTCAGTTAGGATGTCTTACTCGGTACCACTAAAATACACCTATACACGCTTTGTCAATCATATTCTGAAGCATTCCTCACTCCTACTGTGTACACCCAACTTCTATACGCTAGAGTGGCCTCAATGTGCTGTGCTATGAAACAGAGCCATTATTCTGCGAGACGAACTCGGTGTCCATGTACGTGCAGACACTGCAGATTGTAGACCGTTGGGTCTGCAGGAATATCGGGTTACCCCAGGTAACGACAGATCAGGCAGCCAGCAAAGAACCACTCCACTATGCCGTTTCTGGTAACTAATGTCCGCTTCTCTTAGGAGCATATAGACGCAAATGCAGGGTGTTTCTACCAAAAAGTCGCATACCTACTTTTGGGCCAATTTTACACCTCACCCGCGTGGCAAGGGCCAATGGTACAGCACGTTGGAATGGGCGCGCATCTTTCGAGATGGAAGCGGATGCAGGTTGCCGAACTAGCCCTGCAAGCTCCTTCCAGAATCATGTAGGTATAGAAGGATATGCAAAGGATGCGAAAATGGAAAATTTTGAGTTTAGGCCTTTCCTACCCGCCTTTCTTCAGCCATTCTATTAGTAGCCGGCCTCGCCCCGTTGCTGCTTCTAGTGATCCATTCGTTGCAGTAATCTTCATCTTCACCTGGCCATGTACTCACGTACCATTTTATCGGGCCTACTGTTGGGGGCACTGCCTTTACCGACTTCAGCACACGATGGCATGAACACCACAATCCCCACTCCTCCGAAACCTGGTCCACCAGCAAGCGACTGCGCCGGTGTGAACGCCATCAGCCCAAAATGCAACAGCCAAGAATCTGCATATCAGAGAGACTTTTTCTATATCGGTGGTGGCTATGTCGACTCTGGCATCCCGGGCCAGCAGATGTGGAGCGACCAACTCTACGTCGAGAAGCTGACGCCTGCCACAAAGGTCAAAAAGCCTTACCCGATGGTCTTCGTCTCCGCGGGTATCAACACAGGTGCAGAGTGGTTGAATACGCCAGACAATCGCAAAGGATGGGCCTCTTACTACCTTGACCAAGGTTACCAAGTCTACATTGTTGATATCGCTGCAAACGGCCGAAGTGGCCAGCAACTTCTCTCAAAATACCCTCTACGCCTTGCTTCCACAGACGTCATCAATGAAGAGGGTTTCACAGCTGTCGGGAACTTTGCACAATACCCCCAAGCAAGCTTACATACCCAATGGCCCGGCAACGGAACTCGTGGAGACCCAGTCTTTGACGCCTTCACTGCCGCCAACGTTCCCCTCTCTTCATCCAGCGTGAACGTGGAAAACACCATGCGCATGTCTGGATGCCAGCTTCTCAGCATGATCGGCCAGTCATACACAGTCTGCCACTCTGCCGGTTGCACTTACACCGCCATCTGGTCAGACGCATGCCCCGATCTCCTCCGTGCCAACATCAACATCGAGCCTGGAAACATACCATTTACTTCATTCGTCGGAGGCTCGACTGGTGTCGGTGGCGGCCGTACCGCTTCTCGACCTTGCGGTCTCACAAACACACCGCTGCAATACGATCCTCCCGTAACAAACTGCTCGGCCATTACCACCGCTGAGATTGGACTAGACACCCCCGCCGAGCGCTCTTGTATGCTTCAAATCGGTATTATTCACAAGCTCACTCAGGTCGGCAAAGTGCCGTATATTATGATTACGGGCGAGGCCAGCCAGCATATCACGTACGACTACTGCTTTGTGGCGTACTTTGAGCAGATGGGTCTCACGAATTTCCAGTGGATCAAGCTTGCCGATTTTGGTATCAAGGGAAATGCGCACTTTTTGTTCTTGGAGAAGAATAATTTGGATATTGCTGCGGCTATCAACTTGGGTCTCGAGAAGCTGAACAAAGGGCCAGATGCTCCGGGTCATCCTGATCTCCCCGTCTCTTTGGAATGAGAGACGTAGTTGTATGATAGCTGCCAGCGCTAAATCTGTTTTCATGTATAAAGCTCAAAAGCCGAGTTGTACAAATGCAATGGCAGAGTACGGGGGCTATTATATAGTGTAGACTTTGCATAACATGTCATCATTCATTTGTCCATACGGCATTACCACTAATCGTTATTAAGCGCTGTTCCTCATGAAGGTGATTACACCAATCTTCTCTATCCGCCAGCAACCATCACCTCTTCGTTACGTTAATTTCATCTCGCTTTAAGAACACTATCCAGCACCCCAACCCTCTTGACCCAACTCCTCGCCCTCTTCCCATAAATATACATTGGAATCGTAAACAGCGTCACTGCAACCGTCGTACCTCCAATCACATAAAACGTATCTCTTACCCCCTGCGTAGCGATCCAATCGTTGGCGTAGAAAGTCAGCCCAAATGCGAAAAGATTCTTGATAAAGTTCATGATGGCGAAGGCTTCGGCAGACTCCTCGCGGTGACAGTCCGATACGTAGGTTACTACGGCGGTAGTACCGAGTTGCACGCCGAGATTAATGAGGCCCATGCAGACAATGACGGGGATGGGCCATGGGTCTGCTTTGTAGAGCGCTTCGCCCCAACCGAAGAAGCCGACGGCGGTGAAGGCGAGGTATGTTACCATGACTGGAAGTCTGAACTCGGGTTCTATCAACTGATTAGCCGCCATATAATCCTATTTGCAGTAGCAGAATACATACCGAAAATACCATTGTTATGCTTAGACATGAGTTTTGCCACGCCGTCGATGATGGGGCCCGCTATCAGGGTGGCTAGGACCGACGCCACGAATGAAGACATGTTTGTTGCGCCGACTGCACTGACTGAGAAGTTATATGGTGGTGCTGAGAAGATCTGGGATAGCGTTATGGAAATGAGGACGAGCCAGGATATACAGATTGTAAACAACAACGTTGCCCACATGACTACGGGACTGGCAATCATGACAAAAGGGCGAATCAGCGTGCGCCAGAAGGATACATCGTCCTTGTAGCCAGACCAAAACTGAAGCGTTTTCTTGTACGAATCGCGGGGTTCCAATGAGGGAGATGGGTGGCGTACGTTGTCCTCGATGCGTTCGACGGGCTGCTTTTTGTGTTTCTCCGAGATATCGAGGGCGTGGACGCTGGTGTCGATGTCTATGATGTTATCGCGGTGGTATGCTGTCTCGGGCATGAAAAAGAAGACTAGAAGGAACATGATGATGAAGGCGCCGCCCATTGCGTACATGGCGATGCGGTAAGAGCCGTATTGGATAATGGATCCGGCTGATTTGGTTAGTATTGTAATGCGTTGCTCGAGAATTTGTTTATACCTATGGGACTAGCCAAGTTCTGAGCAAAGTGTCAGTGTGTGTTCTTTTCTCGGTTTTTTTTGCAGGCAACTCACGATTCCACCCAGAACCCCGAGATTGAAAATAGCCATTCTGAACCCGCGCTCGTGTACGTGCCACAGGTCGCCAACCGAGGACGGTATGAGTGCTTCGAAAGGGGCTACTATTGTAAGCACGCGATATAGCAAGAGAAACGTCAACTCATCTTACCCATGCAAAACCCCTGAATAGCTCTCGCAGCAGTGAACGAACCGAAGCTCGAAGACCCCGCGACCCAGAAACTCGAAGCTGCCAATCCCAGTGTAGTCACAAGATAAATCGGTCTCTTTCCTATCTTGACGGCCAGAGTATTGCAGAGAAGACTGCCGGCGGCAATGGCTACGATACAGGATCCGTTTGCACCTGTTCGAGCACTAGTCAGAGCAATGCTTTTACGCTAGGTGGATATCGTATTACCAAGTGTAAATCGTTGTAACGGGACGTCAAATTGCTTCGCCAGAGGTACAAAAGCAGATGTTAATAACGGTCCGACAGCTAAAGTCCCCAGTCAGCCTCGTAGCATCGGAATCAATGGTCAATCTCTTACCCCCTACACAACCGCATCCGTATGCAATGACAACCGTAAACTATCCCTCGTTAGCTTCTCTATAACATCTTCCGTATTCATCACTCAACTCACCATCTCCTTCTGCCATCGCGGCCAATTATACGGATCATTTGGCGAATCCGAGGGCTGAGGAATAAGTACAACCGTCCCCGTCGCGTCATGTTTGAGCAGGGAAACATCAATCCCCGACGTAGTCTCAAGATCGAGCCGCCCCAGCTCGCTCAGCGGCGCCGTCCCCGGCACCTTTTCGAGTTTGTAGTCTTGCAGTATACCTAGCGGCATGGTTGCTCAATTTGTGTACGAAAAAAAGCTGCTGAGAAAAGGAAAGAAAAATGTTTGGTGGAATGCAGTAGTACGTGGATTTCGATTATAACCACGGCATTTAGCGATTGGGATATCCGGGAATATACTTACACCAGCTGAATATGTAGCTACAGAATGATGTGGGGTGGCACTCTTCACGCGGCAGTTGCCCCAAGACCAGGGGTGATAAAGAGCGTGCGGGGGTGCGGGTGCGGGGAACTAACAATTACAATTGCACTTATCGAGCGACTATGGGGTAGTACAAGCAGGTGATGCGGCAGCTATGCTAGAAAAAAGTGGGTAGTTATCGGTAAGACGTTGCCGATGGATCTACGTGCATGACGGGCTTGTATTGGTATAGTCCTATGCATGTGTCCGGCGACGGGTCCGCTTAAGTGACATGCCGCTTTACCGGGTGTATGATGCTTGGGGATACGAGGAGCGGGAGTGTCTTGAGTGGTGTGTGTGCGTGCGAATAAGCATGGAAATATATCATTCGGAAGATGCTTGCCAGGCATAAGCACAAAGGTTATTTCGAGTACAGATAGCATCACGGCACGATTTCACTTCTTTCTTGTTGACAGACAGGGTTATACTACCAAAGCCACCATACTTCGGATCGGGTAACGGACCCAGCCCCACATCCAGCCACACGAAATCCAGGCCTCGTTTACTGTTTCGAGGAGACACCATATATGCGCTCCAGCTGAAAGCAAACCGCATCCGTAACCTCATTCGTCGAGGAGCTGCCTCCGAGATCACGAGTCGTAACACCTCGCTCGGTAACCGACTCAACACTCTCCATAAGCTTCTGAGCCGCTTGCTCCTCGCCCAGCCATGCTAGCATCTCGGATGCAGTCCAGAACGTGCCTACTGGATTCGCGATACCCTTGCCTGTAATGTCGAATGCTGAGCCGTGGATTGGCTCGAACATGGATGGGTTCTGGCGTGTGGGATCAACTATTTCCCCTTAGTATCACTGTTGGGATGAACAGGATAGAAGATACTCACGATTACTGGTCGGTGCAATACCAATCGAGCCAGCCAGGGCGGCTGCAAGGTCTGAAAGGATATCCGCATGCTGTACGCGTCAGTAATCGACCTATTCTTCAAGTAACATATTTCCACTCACCAAATTCGTCGCTACTATCGTATCTAGTGACTTCGGATCAAGCACCATCCTACACGTCATAGCATCAACAAGCATCTTATCGCACTTGACGTCGGGAAACTCTTTCGCAACCTCCGCAGCAACCTCATCCCACATGACCATCCCATTGCGCTGTGCGTTACTTTTTGTAACAACAGTGATGTACTTCCTCGGTCGTTTCCGCGCCGTCTCAAACGCAAAACGTAGCAGACGCTCTACGCCATGTCGCGTAAAGATGGAGACTTCGGTGGCGATTTCCCACGGTTGACCTTTATGCGATCGGCCTCCTTGACCTGCATATTCTCCTTCAGAATTCTCGCGTACGATGACCCAGTCGAGATCGCCGTGCTCTGCTTTTCGCAGGGGAGATGAAGTGCCACGGAAGATTTTGGTGGGTCGGACGTTGGCGTATTGCTGGAAGGTTTGGCAGATGGCGAGGCGGAGGCCCCATAGAGAGATGTGATCTGGAACGTCTGTGCAGTCGATTAGCAAGTTGGGTGCTTGCACTCTTGGGTCCTCTACGTACCTGGAGCGCCAACGGCACCGAAGAGAATCGCGTTGTGCTTCTTAAGTTCTTCTAGTCCCCCATCGGGTATGTACTTTCCTGTCTTTTTGTATGTTTCTGAACTCCAATCGTAATCTTTGAATTGTAGTTGGAATGATCCATCTAGCTGTGCGAGTTTCCTCAAGACTTGTACACCGGCGTTGACGACCTCTGGACCTATGCCATCGGCGCCTATTGTGGCAATGCTGTGTGTGCGCGTAGTTGTGCTTGGAGACATGATGAAGGTTGCACGCTTTTGTTTTCTTTAGGATAGAAACTTAACAATCAAGCACCAAGCGGTTCATGCTACGACACAGATTCATCCAAGTCTTCATATAGTGTGAATTATGGACTAAGAATCACCACTCCCGGTCAGTCTCATGTGCTTGGACAGGTTTCGTCGCAATGCTTGCCACTGGTGTTCTCCAGTCCCGCAAATGCGGGGAAGTACCGGAGAAACAAAGTCCGGCACATGTGCCGAACATAACATTGCTGTTCTTTCATTTCGCTCTTCGCATTCAACAATTCTTTGTTACTGCGTAAAGTCCCAATGTTGCTCTTGGTCGAACCAAAACGGTATATCAAAGCCTGAAAAGGGATCTAAACTGTTTGGATTGCTGAATGTCATACCTCCAGTCCCTTCCATTGTCATGTACGTATTCCAGTAACTGTCATCAATGCCAAAAATAGGCTCCACTCCTCCCGACCCAGCCAGAAGTTCAGAGTCAGGGTTGGCGGCGCGTTCCTGATCTTCCACTGTTCCACGTGAGATTTTATCTGGATGTATCGGGTCGTGTTGAATCGAAGATGTTGGAAAATCGTTGCATGATATGCTAGTGACTCCATCTTCACCTGTGTAATCGCTCAGAGAAACCGCACTAGCATCTTGAGTTGTTTGGTAAGACATGCGGGCGCGTAAGTCGCGTATTGCGGCAGAGCTCGCCTCCGGCCATGCGCTTCCACGCTGAGAAAGATGCTCAAGTATTTGCAAGCTTTTCTCCGACAGCCTTTGCTTACAGATTAGCAGGAGAACAAAAGTAAGTTTCCAAGAGATAATACCGTGTAACAAGAGCCTCAGCGATATGCTTTCCGTTCGCCGCATAAAAGAGGATGAACGTGCTGATCCATACCGCCCAGGTACAAGAAGGCCATAGTAATGACAGAGAGCGTGACAATGCTTCGGCTCGACTAGATTCGGGTTTCATAGCACTGTGAAGGTTTGAAATGATACTGCGGGCAGATCCAATACATTTTTGGAGTGCCACGTCGTATTCTACATCTTTATGTGACGCTGCTAAAGCAGGGCGATAGAAGGAAATGAGTGATTCATGCTTAAGCAGTATTAGGACCATAGTTGCATACTGAGAAGCTCTGTGAGGCTCATCTGGATCGATATAGTCCTCTACATCATTCCACCATTGGCTAAGTTTCGCAGTGATCGCGGTCGCTCGAGTTGGGTCGTTCTGAACAAAGTGTACCGATTTGTTGCGAAGTTCTATAATCTCGCCGCGAATTCTGGCTTGCTGAGCTAGGAGATGAAGTAGGCGTAGCTGGTTTTCTTCATGCGGTTAGGGCAGATTTTATCTAGAGACGGTAGAACCTACGGTGTTCCGACTGGGCTTCTACGTGATGTTCCGTGAGCGGAAAGCATACATCGATGTCGTAATCATGAAGACTCAGCGGGAGACCCATGGATTGGCTGAGAAAGCGATCCATGGCATAGATTGACCAGAACACGCGTTGTCGAAGCTCTTTTTCATCCGAAGAAAATGCCGAAAAGCGAGCTGGGCAGCGATGAAGGCCTAGTTGCACAGCCATACGTGTGATAAGTCCACCCACACGGGAAGCAGCATTCAGACGAAGCATGGATACAAGGAATATTTGCACACTCAGAGCTGCTTGTAATGCGAGTGTGGTCGTAGGGCGTGATAATACGGCCTGGAGACTGTCTAAAGCAGACTCATACGTTAGGAAGACGAGACAGGCAGGATACTGCGCACGATCATATCCATTTGATTGTCTATGATCTGCAAGAGACGTGGAATGGATTGCTCGAAGTATCACCATGCGAAGATCTCCAAGAGAATTGCCTCCTGGAATGCCTTCACGTGCGAATTCATCAAAATACCCTAGGACAGTCGGTGCGTGCAGAAATGGGTAAAACGGGTGCCAGTTTGCAAAATAACTCGCCGAGAAGGCAACCATCTCTTGAAATGATATTGGAGCAGGTGCATCGGGAATGATCTCGGCTTCTTTCCATAATCGTTCAGATGAATTGGGTTTTACCAACGGTAGATGGTCATCTTCGCCTGGTACTATGTCACTTATGGGTGTTTGAGCCACGTCAGGATTTACTGGCCGAGAGCGGTTGACAGCACCATAGACTGATCTGATAAAGAAGATTCCACTGGCACTGCCGACAAAACCTGTCAGTCTGTCCGTGGGGTTTCGCATCAAGCCGACTTCACGCGCTAGTTGCGCTGAAGCTCGCTGTCGTTTCGCAGGCCTCTCATCCCATGCAGGTCTTTCGGACGATAAGTACTCGTCATGCATATGTTCCATGGTAGCCACTATCATGCGTGGCCTATTAGTGAGGAGATCGGTGGGTGTCAAAGGCAGGATTCTCGAAGTAGAAAACCCCGCTTCGTCGCATGACTCGATTTTAACCAACTCTAACCAACAGATTGATTCAGGCAATGCATGTCGCTTACGAAGAGGCCTTCAGTCACTAGAAGTAATTTTCTGTCCATCGCCTGGAATCTGGGGAGCAACCCAAAGAATTTGGGCCTGTTGGCTGATTGCAAGTCTCCAGATGCTCCAGAACCGTCCTTGGCGGCGCTGCAGCGTGGATTTGGAGCTCAGGCGTTGATTCATTATAGTTTGTTTGAGGTGCGGTGGTTGCTGCCAGACCCTCGTCCTCTTGAGCTTGAAGCCACGCCATCAATTGATCGCGTGTCTGCAGCGGCAAGCGCTTCCAATCTTCCATTTTCTCTGCCTTTGAGCGTTGTCGTAGTAGCGAATTGGAGCCCGCGCCTTTTAAGTGAGCATCTATGTTGTGTTCGGTGGCCGAGTTCCGAATGGCGATAAGAGTGGTAGAGAGTGCGGTTTCGGTTGCTGCCAGTCGCTCCTCAAGAGCTTTGATGTAAGCAGCAGGTAGTCCGCGTTTTCCACCTTCTTGGTAATGGCATTCAGTCGAAGCAGACTGACACTGAGAGCATGATGGACTGATGTGGTTAGCTTTTGTACATGAGTCTCGTGTGGGAGGTGGCAACATTCTACGGTCACATTTGCATTTTTTCAACCTGCAAGCTTCGCAAGCGATGGCGTGGAATCGCTCCTGTGGAGATGCAGTCAGCAGGACATTCTCTCTAACTCATGGGGAAGCTTTTGGCACCATTTGTGAATAGTAATGTTGTTAGGCCAGTGGAACAGTTAGTGTTATACACTTCCATTTGTACAAACAAGAATGGGCTCTCAGCCCCTAGAAGTAGCCGGACACTACAAATTAAGCGTGACCGCCCGCTACCGCTGAGGTTCGCCATCTTCAACGCAAATACTTCGGTCTACAAACGACTTAATGTTTGCTGTCATGAAATATTATTACTTGGGAAGCATACTACTGGAACAGACGTATCGTAGAATCATCACAGTGAGTCTCCCATAATTGGATACCACCGACCTTGTGGACGCGCCAAATGCTTTTATTCAGTCATTACAGCCAACTATGATATCGTGACATGAAGCAAGTGTCGCCTAGGAAACAAGAAGACTTCGCGTGTCACTATTCTCTCTTGATCATCAATCAAGAAATCCATCGTCAATCTGTCAACCATTACCTCGTCACAGCATCAATCTTCGCCAACCTGGGCGATGAAATCTCGCAACGCTCTGCGCTATCCATTGAAGAGCTTTGGCGAGTTCGAACGACACGCTCACGTTTGGGCGCTTCAAATTTTTGATAATCGTTCTCAATCAATCGGTAAGTACTCCCATAGTCACGCCACTGCATCTGAAATGCGATCAAGAGTACTGGCAACACGCTAATGAGCTCACCCAACCCAGCCCATTGCGGTTTGATCCTGATCTGACGGCCTACTTGGACAAAAACGCCAGATGCAAGCGCGATTGCGACAGTGTTGTATAGACCGGACCAGGTGAAGTTGGCGACAATGCGTCGGTATGCAGCATCGGAAATGTCCAGCAATATCAAGATGTCATGTAGACGGGTGGTCATTAGAATGATGTCCGCAGCACTTTTGGCGACATCAGATCCCTGGCTGATGTGTACGCCAATATCAGCCTGCTTGAGTGCAGCAGAGTCGTTTGTGCCATCGCCTATAAACATGACGATTTTTCCCGATTCCTGAAGGTCTTTGATGTAGGTGCACTTCCCATCGGGTCTGCAGCGCGATTTTATGTTGTCTTTGTGAATATGGAGTGCACTGGCAGTGTCATCTACTGCACTCTCGGTGTCACCACTGACTATATGTACTTGGATACCTCGACCATGAAGCTTTTCAATAACCATCTCCGCTCCAGGGCGAGTGCGATCTTTAAGCTCAAAACTGGCTTGAAGGTCTCCCGCAATCGTAAAGTAGCACCTCGTGTTTGATTCTTGTCCAATCACGCTGATCTTTAGCCAGTCGGCATTTCCGGCGCGAACCACGGCTCCGGTTTTTGCGCAAGTGCCTTGGATTCCTTGCCCAGGAAAGCTGACAATGTTGTTGACCTCCAGAGGTTCGTAGTATTTGTTGGCAATTCTGTCTTGCATGAGGTAATACATAATTCCAACGGCTACTGGGTGCTTTATATCTTTCAATAGTCCCATCATTAGTCCCTTGACGCGTGCTCTGTCAGTATTGCGGTATCGTGGGACGCCCACAATGTCCAATCTCCCACAAGTAAGCGTTCCAGTCTTGTCAAATACTACATCCGTCACTTCGCCGACGAGCTCTAGCTTCTGAGGGTCTCTGAGAATGATACCATACCTTGCTGCCACACCACTTGCAATGAGGATAACCATAGGAACAGCTAGACCAATAGCACATGGGCATGACACAACAAGAGTCGCTATGGCGTAAGTGATTGCCGTAAGGACTGCGCTCTTCCACGTGTGCTCGTTAAAATACCTGTCGATGAACAGCCAGTATAGAAAGACCGCTAGACCGATTAGAGCTATGACGGGCACAAAGTACTCGGCTACGCGATCCGCAACGGCTTGAGCTTTTGGTTTGCTCAGCCCAGCATTTTCAACTAGAGTCGCAATCTTTTGTATAGAGTTCTCATGAGGCAGCTTCCTCAGACTAACGACAAGAGAGCCGTCTTGGTTGGTCGTGCCAGCAAAAACTTCGGAGGATAAGCCTTTCGCTTTGGGCTTGAACTCCCCAGTAATCATCGATTCATCGACATTGGAGCCTCCGTAAATGACAATGCCATCTGTAACGACCTTAGTATAAGGAGGAACGATGAAAGCATCGCCGTACTGTAAAAGGCGAGAATCAATCCGAGTGGTTTTCACATTGGCCCAGATGTCATTGGCGCATGGCGACACCAAAATCGCTTCTTCGATCTGAAGTGAACGAAAAGAGACGGATTTGGTAGCTCGGAAACGCGCGAACTCATTGATGACGCGACCCAGCAGGATCAATGTGACCAGCAGAGTTGATGTCTCAAAGAAAGACCCTATTTTCAAAGTCTTCCCACGGATCTTAAAAATGTACGACGCCAGACTGAAACCGTACGCCGCAGTGGTACTGAAGGCAATTAAGAAGTCCATCTCCAAAATGTGGGAGTGATAGAGCGATCGTAAAGCGCCTGGAACGAACTCTTTGAAAGCGACAAGCTGAACTAGTGTTGCAAGAGCTAAGGATGCATGGAGAAAAGCCGGCTGATCGTGATCGACGGGTGCCCAGGCGAATACAAGCACAGGTATTGTCAAGACTAATGTAGGAAGAAACCATAGCAAAGCTCGAGTTGTTTGCTTGGCTCCAAGCTCAATGCCAGGGTCTATGGTCAGAGGCGCCAAGCAAATGTCCGGATCGTACTGCTGATAATGCTCAAACACAGTGCGGGCCCCTATCTTGGTCGGATCGTAGTATATTTTCGTAAGAGATATCCTAATGCTTGAAATTTCATGTGTGGGATTCTTTGTACTATCATTCACGTTGTTATTTTTAACGGTTTCGTCTGTTGATGTGTCGGTCAAGGTCGTTTTCTTGTCACGTCGACGCAATCTGCGTAGAGGTCGCCAGGGGGCTCGCTCAGGTGCTTCGACACGGATGACACCTTTGGGCTGACCAGCGTGCTCCAGGCGCCAAGGGTCGGTGATGACGACCTCTAACACCTGTCCATTGAATGTAATGTGCTCTTCAAAGTTGTATCCCGTTTTTGTAGTTAGTAGCTTAATGATATCATCGACACAGAGGATGTTCACATCCAAGTCAAACTCCACTCTAGCCAAAACCGTGTTCACTTGATAGTTTCGGATAGCCGCAATGCGATCAAGGGCGCGTGAAAGTCCTCCTTCACAGCAACCACACTTGAGACCATCTATTCGGAGGACGACACGCTCGAATTTGGGGGGCCCCTTTTCGGCGTCCCTAGAGTTGTTGCAGGTGGCCGTGGAATCTAAATCTTTTAGTGAACAGACCTTGAACTATGCGACCCCAGGCAACAAGTGCCAGGTAAAGGATAGTTACAATGTAAATCTGTAGTCTCACAGCCTCCCTTCAGCCCACATGGGTTACCACCACTGATTCCGGGCACTGTTGCTGGAGATGGGTTGTGGCGGCTAATGAGACAACAATTCGAGAACGCGGCGAACGGGCGATGATGACCTGTGCTATCTTGGCATGATTTGGGCTGTGAGCTTAGGGCTGCGGTTTCTTTAGGAATCCGTACGTGAGAGTGCGACGATGTTCGGCGTTGAGGTGTCGGTTCCAAATTTTCTTGCACAAGCGGTAGACTTGGAGCTTTACCGGGTGGTTCGAGATGCAATTTCGATTCCACAACACGTTGTCTTTCTGCCTCTGACATTTCTGAGGCCAGTTCTGGTGTTGAGGGAAACACATCGGACGGGTTTTGATGTGATGCCTGACGGAATGTCTGTTCAGGCAGTGTTCCGTCACGATCGACAGCAGAGATATCAGGCGTATGAGGGACCGAAGGAGAGCGTTGATGCTGCTGAGATGTAGGTTCGGCAGGCTGAGCATATGGGTTTCTCACCGGATAGGTCTTTGCGTAGGGGTTTGGCGTACCGGGTGATACAGGTCTGCTATGGCCAGAAGCAAGTCGCAGTTTATGTGTATGGTGTGTGCCGTCCTCAGGGGAGAGCATTCGCGTTTCCATTGTGTTAATTGTGTACCGCGGTAGTAATGGAAAATGATGTGGATGCTGATGTTTCGAGAGGAGAGAGGAGGGTGCAGAAAGATGATCTTGAGTTCACTGGAGCTTGTATCACCAAAAATCTGGAATGGCAATAGGTAAGGCACGCTCGAGCGAGGCTGCAGGTGCGCCTGCCACATTCACGGAACTTATCCCGACGAGATAGTGTCATTTGTGGCACCTACTAATAAGAAAATGAATGCTGAAGTATCGATATACACTGCCGATTGGCGTTAAAAAGGCATTTTTGAAAGTAATAGGTTTTCCTGTTATGAACAGAGCAACCAGGTGCTACTACCTGTGCCACGACAAATATTAGACGTCTAGGGAGTAAGTAGCACCTGTGCCCCGGAAAAAGAGCATTCTGTACATGTATGTCAGACAATGGTGTTTACGATGCCATGTTGAATGCTTCTCAGATAGTAGAAGTCATTTGAGGGTGTTGTAGGTATGGGTAAGGGATGAGGGCGAAGGGCAGCATCGTTAGCACTCTAAACGCCAAGCGCCCAACACGTGATAGCGCGCTTTAGGTGCATGTTGCGTCATCAGCCATCACTGTCGCCTACAGTCATGCGCATCTTGTAGATATCTGCACATAACAGCGACTCCTTGCCACAGTAATGCCAACACCTAGTGGCGCATATAACAGTACTTGCTGATTGACATGGTGACACCCACCATGAACACCCAAAACTGTCCTATCAACCTACCAAGCATATCATAACTACGCACGCCACGGATCGCGCCAACCTGGCAGGTGACAGCAGACATGGCAGGCGCTCGTGCGAGATCGCGCCAGGCAGCCGAGTTGTCGACGCCAAGGAGGTCGGCGCGGAGAGGGAACAAGACACGATCCGAGGAAGAAGTGCCAGCTGTGTTCCAGGATATGCTGCGCGAGGAAGAGGCATCCAAGGCCACCAGTGCCCATGAAGATGGCCCACCGCAAAAGAAGAGAAAGACGGCGCCACCGACCACGAGCCCACGTCCCGCTGCTCTCCCCACACGGGTCTCGCCAGTACCGTTGCGTGCACAAGCGCAAGCCACGGCTACAATTCCGCCAGTCGCCGACGAGCCTCGATACACCAGCGGACGGCTGCGACAGACCATCATCGATTCAGATGAGTCGGAAGACAGTGATATGGAGTGGGAAGATGCGCTGGCCGACGGCGACGATAGCGATGACGACGACGCTGCTGAGGGCCGGGACACCGCACCGCATATTGGGGACATCTCCATTGCCATTGGCGCCAAAAAGACGGACGAGAATGGTGGGAAGAGAAAAGTACGGCGACGAGCAATAACCTCCGTTGATAAAAAGCGCCGTCTGGATATTCACAAAATGCACGTCCTCTGTCTGCTTTACCATGTCCACTACAGAAACGCTTGGTGCAGCGACAGAAGAGTTCAGAGCACCCTGCGTAAAATTGTTTCCCCCAAAACACTGGCTAACCTCGTTCCAAACCCCGACCTCACACAGTATTCTGCATCAAAGCATTTTATTGACGGGATGAATGATCTCAAGATGATGTGGTCTAAGCGATTCAACATCACCGCCCGGGGCATGCACAAGCCCCGATGGGCCGAGGTCGATGCCGCTATCCGTCCCTTCTCAGACTTTGACGAGTTCGATGGCCCCATGGATAAAGATGAATTCCGTACTGCGGCGCATACTTTGCAGGGGTCCCAGGATGTTGGCACGCAGCTGTTTTGCGCCCTTCTCCGTGGAATTGGCATAGAAGCTCGCCTTGTCTGTTCCCTGCAGCCTCTACCTTTCTCTTCTGCCGCTGAGCGTGCAACTCCACAAAAGACGAGTGTGCAGAAGAATACGATAGTAGTTGATCCGTATAACAAGTCAGCAGAGCCAAGTCCCACAAAACCCACATCACAGGGGCCGCGAAATAAGAGATTGTCCAGACTAGAGCGTGTAATGGGCGAACGCCATACAGTTCTGAACCATACTGGTGTGGCGCCTAAGAAACAGAAGGCATACCACACACCGTATCCTGTATACTGGGTTGAAGCTTTCAATCCTGCATATCAGAAATGGGTACCAATCGACGTATTCTCTACATTCACTGTCAACTGTCCCGAGAAATTGGAACCACCGCTTAGCTTTCCTGACAACATTCTGGCTTATGCAATAGCATACGAAGCTGACTTTTCAGCGAAAGATGTCACACAACGATATGCAAAGGCATACAATGCCAAGACGCGGAAATATCGTGTCCATAGTACACCTGGAGGGAACAAGTGGTGGCGACGAGCTATGGACTTTTGGAAGCGTAGATACCCGCTTGATAGAGACCAAGTGGAAAATGCTACCTTGGCGCGCAAAGAGGCATTGGAAGGCCTACCGAACAATGTTCAAGACTTCAAAGGACATCCCGTCTACGTACTTGAGCGACATCTGAAGCACAACGAGGTCATTCACCCTCTGCATCAAGTTGGAAAGGTGAATTGCGGCACTGCCATGAATCCCAAAATGGAGCCCGTCTATCGTCGTGTCAATGTACATACAGTCAGAACCGCAGACAAATGGTATCGCATGGGGAGAGATGTTAAATTTGGCGAACAACCCCTTAAGCGCGCGAAACCCAAGAAAGGGCGGAGGAGCTCTATTGATCCAAGTATGGAAGGCGATGACGAAGCAGACGAGGTTGGGGCTGGCCTCTTTGCTGAGTTTCAAACCGAACTCTATGTACCACCTCCTGTTGTTCGAGGCCGCGTTCCGCGCAATGTCTACGGCAACCTTGACTTGTACGTCCCATCAATGTGCCCACCAGGGGGTGTGCATATTCGACATAAGCTTGCGTCTAAAGCAGCACGTATCGTTGGCGTCGACTTTGCAGACGCTGTCACTGGATTCTCTTTCAAAGGTCGCCACGGCACTGCAATCGTTCAGGGCGTGGTAGTTGCGCAAGAATACGCGGATGCGGTGCAAGGCGTGATTGAGGGTATGGAGTACCAGCAAGAAGAAGCAGAGGCAGCAGCGCGCAGAACCGAATCGCTTCGACTGTGGCGACGTTTCTTCCTTGGTCTGCGCATTGCAGAGCGCGTCAACGCCATTGAAATCGATGGCGAGAAAGGCCCAGCTATCGACGTGCAGGATGAAATTAGTAAAGAAGATCGAGAGCTGGCTGCCCAGGAAATGGCAGGTGGATTCTTTCCTGACGATGCCGCGACTGCCGAGCCCTCAGGCAGTGGGTATCAACCACGACATGAAGAGAATACCGGCGGTGGATTCTTACCAGACAGCAATGACGCCGGCTTTGATGACGGTGGCGGTGGGGGCTTCATGGTAGACAAAGATGAAGACGTAGCACCCGCCACCCTAAACCGACACCAAAGCTTCGAGAGTTCCATTCTAGAGTCACAACCACTTCGGCCCCCACGTCCATGTAGTTGTGATGAAGTTTACTCGTCCGACGATGACGACGAGAGTGAGGACTGGGAACAACTAGAAGCTGGACCTTCTACGACTGCTGGAGGTGGTAGTGCGATACCCGCGCAAGTCGACCGCCTTGCAAGAAAGGAAGCTGTAGTAGTGATAATCGACGAGTCTCTTCCGAAAGACTCTACACACCAGCGAAAAGAGGAGGTACAAGAAACAGTAGCGGTGCCGGAACATGCAACGGATGGGTCGAAAGGTACAGAGGATGCCGAGATCAAGTCACCTCCAGCACAAACCCCTTCGTCGTCACCGTCTGAAACCGGGTCGCTCATGTTGGAGGACCCTGAGGACGAAGATGCAGATCCGGATTGGTTAGTCGATGCTACTTGATATTTTTGTTTAATTATTTGGATAATTCAAAGCCGAAGAACAGATCGCCGTACTATACTATCACCATTTACAGATGAAAACAAGACGTTGAGTAATGATATCTTTTGTTCATCATAGTCCCACTCTTTCTATTACTTCACAATGATAATCCGAATACTATTTGTCTAATTCATGAAAAAAATCACTTCTTCTCCAACATATCCTCCAACCCCTTAATCCCGCCCTCAAATCCCTCCAAGTCATACTCCTTGGGATATCTCTCCAGCACATCCTTCAACTCCTCGGCATGCGCCCTCTGCTCCTCGGTTAGACTCTCCCAAACGCCCTCAAACGCATTCCGAATCGACGGCTTCTTCTCCTTCTCCGCCTCTTCAAACGCCCGTAGGACCTCCTTCCGCATCGCACTCCTTATCTCCTTTTCTTTATCCTCATCCCAGAGTTCGCGGCTCTCGAGCCACTTTCTCAGCCGTGTAATGGGGTTGTCGCGGCGCTTCCAGTCCTCGACTTCGACGCGCTGGCGGTATGCGAACGAGTCGTCGGAGGTGCTGTGGTGACCCACGCGGTAGGCCATCATTTCGATGAGGACGGGCTGGCCGCCGTCTTGGAGCGCAAGGCGCCGTGCGTGCGAGGTGGCGCGGCGCACGGCGAAGATGTCGTTGCCGTCGACGCGGAGGGTCGCGATGCCGTAGCCTGCGCCGCGCGAGGCGATGCCGTCGCCCCGGTACTGGTCAGAGGTTGGTGTCGAAATCGCGTACCCATTGTTGCGGCAGATGAAGATGCAGGGGACCTGGCGGGTCGCGGCGATGTTGAGGGCGGCGTGGAAATCGCCTTCACTGGCGGCGCCCTCGCCAAAGTAGCAGACTGTCACTCGGGGCTCGGCGTCCGGGTTCTGGATGTTCTGCATTTTCAGTGCGTAGGCGGCGCCGGCTGCGTGTGGGATCTGGGTTGCGAGGGTGGAGCTGATGGTGTGGATGTTGAGTTCTTTGCTGCCGTAGTGTACGGGCATGTTGCGGCCCAGGCCATTGTCCTTGGAGTTTGCGAAGAGCTGGTTCATGAAGGAAGAGAGGGTGAAGCCGCGTTGGAGGTAGACGCCCGATTCGCGGTATTGGCAGAAGATGACGTCGGAGGGGGAGAGGGCGCTGGCTGAGCCGATGGCAATGCCTTCTTCGCCGGCAGAGACCTTGGACTGTTAGTATGTAGGTGTATTTATATAGGTGATTCAAATTACCATGTAGAATGATAATCTGCCCTGCCGTTGTGCTTCAAACATGAGAAGATCCATTATGCTCACTGTGCCATGTCAGTCGCAAGCCCAAGAGCAAGACACCCATCTTACTAACGCTTAACCATGTTCTTATACAGTGACAAGGCCTCTTCATCTGAAGTCTCAACCCCAACCTCCTTGTCTATTATCTCTCCGTACTGGTCCATGACGCGGTAGGTGGAGATAGCCTTTGCCTTTGACGGATGCATAAACTCCATGGTGTTTGTGAACTCGCTATTCAAGGCACCGGGGAATAGCACTCTGTAACATCTTGTCAGTACCCTCCATTGCAAAATATCTCCCACGTCTCCACACTCACCTCTCAGCTGTGGGCGTCGAAGCAACACCCCGGCATGTTGTCTGCCACGGCGAGCCTGTCGGCCTGCCACGCGCATTGTTAGGACGAGCTGTCAGGCTCAGTAGCCTCTGAACTTGTAATCTCCGCGAGGTATAGCGGAAAGACATGTTGGAATTATGCTACATCATGGAATATGCGGGGGAAGGTGGTATATCAAGCTGGGGAAGTGCGGGCGGCAAGCGTCGGCGTAAAGTCGACGTTTGGAATGCGTTACCGCGGCCAAACTTCCACGGCAACCACCGCCCATGTCGAACGGTCCAAGCTACGCTGCATACAATTGGCATTGCATTATAACTAAACTAGACTACTCCTTGCGTACCTGTAACCATGTTCGTACTAATGTGTGGATGTGCACCAGGCGGGCGCTAGCAAAGAGAACCCCCCGGCTATGCGCGTGTCATAGCGCATTGAAGGAAAGTCGAGATTGCCAAGGCCGCATCTCTTTTGCTAACACCATCACCACGCACATCGCCCAATTGGCCGAACGATGCAGGCTTCACGGCAGCAGATAGGACGTCAATTGCTCTCCGGGAGGAGGAGGCCAGCAGTAGGAGAAGCATACAGATGTTTTTCTTGCTCAACCAGACAAGCACGGCCTCAACACCCATCATCCCCGCCACCACCACCACCACCAAAGTCCCCGCAAGATGCACCGCAAACAACGCACTTTGGCTTTGAAACTATCGCTGAAGCCCTCAAGGAGCAACGAGGTAGCCATCCCCTCCACCTTCCCCTCCATCCAAACCCCTCAAACTAAACCCATACAGTCGGTGCCGTCTTCTCCTCCGTCGCCTCCTCCTACGACTCAATGAACGACTTCATGTCCCTCGGCATCCACCGCCTCTGGAAAGACCACTTCGTACGGAACCTGAACCCAGGGCGGAACCCCCTCATCTCTTCTTCCTCTGGTCCTTCAGACCAGCAAGGCATGAACATCCTCGACATCGCCGGCGGCACCGGCGACATCGCCTTCCGCATGCTCGACCACGCCTCGCACATCAACCACGACGCGCACACGCGCGTCACCGTCGCAGACATCAACCCGGATATGCTTGCCGAGGGCAAGAAGCGCTCGCTACAAACGCCGTATGCGCGCTCCCCACGGCTCACGTTTGTAGAGGCGAATGCAGAGGATTTGCACATGGTGCCGAGTGAATCTGTGGATTTATATACTGTTGCGTTTGGGATCCGCAACTTTACGCATAAAGAAGTTGCGCTAAAGGAGGCATACAGAGTGCTCAAGCCCGGCGGTGTGTTTGCGTGCTTGGAGTTTAGTAAAGTGCAGAATCCGCTGTTTGATGCCGTGTACCAGCGGTGGAGCTTTGGTGCTATTCCACTCATAGGACAGCTGGTGGCGGGCGATAGGGATAGCTATCAGTATCTTGTGGAGAGTATTGCGAGATTCCCGAGTCAGGAGGAGTTTAGTGGGATGATTAGGGAGGCTGGGTTTTTGGTGCCCGGGAAGGGGTGGGAGGATTTGACGAATGGGATTGCGGCCATACATAAGGGGGTGAAGCCTGTTGGTGTGGTGAAGAAGAAGGTGTAGGATATTTGTTTGAACTACTTGATGGGCTGTGGGTTATTGTACGATTACGTATCATATCTCATATAAAAGCAGGATTCTTAATGGCATAGACATCACACCCTAAGATACTACAACAACAACATGAGCGGAGTAATGACATGTTCATTCATAGCCAGAGACGGTGACGACTTGACCAAGTTATATCAGCTAACCAGCCTAATGAAAAATGCGCCCCTCCCCCAAACCCAATGTCCTAAGAAAGCCAACCCGACCAAAAAAAAACGCCGTTCGCCCACCTTGTGCATCAAAGCGTATTGTAATCTACAAAACGACAAACTGTTATGGAATTGAGGTCCATTCCCCCCATCCCATATATCTGAGAGTTAGATATCCTTCCCGGATAATGCGCAAAGCCCACCATGATTTGGAAAAAAGAACGCCGGGTCCATCCAGCCCCAGGCCAAGATAGCCATGTAACTACTCAATTTGAGAAAGAGAAAGAAAGAAAAATAAATAAAGGGGGGGGAGAAGTTGAAAAGAAAATTCAAAAACTATACAAATTTAATCCATCGTGTACGAACCGCTCAAGAAGGTAATGAAGATAGAGGAAAGAGAAGAAAGGTACCCCTCAGGGTAAAACAATTATGATAACGCCCCTCGAAAACAAAAGCAGTGTAATAATATAGTCAAGAAGAATCAATCAAGGTACTTTGTTGCAATGTTGCGTCATACTTTTCTTTTCTTTTCTTTTTTTTTAGCGGAAATAGGATGCGCGTTTGCCTGCGCTGCCGGTGCTGAGCCTGCCTCTTGCTTCCTCAAGACTACGCCGAGAACCGCCGGCTCCAATCTCGCTCATCTGGAACAGCAATGGTTCGTCGTCATCTACGTTGGTTGCGGCGCGACTGTTAAAGTTGTAGCGACTTTGCCGCTCAGTAGAGCTCGTGCCACCGGTACTGAGACTTGTCGAAGAGCCGTGTGAGAAGAATCCGGATCTGTCTCGAGGTCCAGCCTGGGGGCCGCGCTTGGCAGCAATGTTTGACGTAGAGGCAGGTCGGGGCAAGTCTTCGCGAGAGTCGTTATCAGTGTTTTGGTTATTGCGGTTCGCTAGCATTTCGGTTTGCGCAAACAGCCCGCTAGAGGTGAGACCGGCGCTGGTGAGGCGATGCAGATCATTCGCCCGGTCAACCTCTTCTGACGGCAGACTAGCCGAACGCACACCAAACACATCCGGTTCATCATCAGGCAAAGTGCGGCCCTGTTGGGCTACCGAACTTGACCTGCGGGTGTAATGCCAAGGGCGTGGCGAGGTGGGGATGGCGATACCGTTGCCGTTTTGGTCTTCGCTCTCGCTTTGCTCTTCCACACGAACTGGATCGTGGTCGCGTGACCTTCTGTCAGGTCGACTCCGACTTCGTGTAGGCTGATCGTATTCAATAATGCTATTGGCACTCAGGCGAGATGGGATGGCTGGTGTGTGAGGAGTATGAGGCGAAATAGGTTTGCCAGGTGATGATGCTGTCGAGACCGAAGTGCCGGCAATCATTGCAGGCACGCTAGAAAGATGACGGCTTGAAGAGGACGATGAGCGATGAAGCATGGTTGAGGAAGAAACCGACTCGGCAAGACCTGTGTGAGACTCTCTCATGCGCTGATACTTGGACAACTGAGCAGTAGTCTTGTGCATAGTGGCTGTCTTGGCGGCATTGTCGCTGCGAGTAAAGCTCTTGAGGTCCTTCTTTGATTCCAGAAGTTTGAGAAAGTCGGAAATGTTCTCGTCGTCTGTCCTGACCTCTCCCGAGCTGCCACCGGCACCCTCGTTCAGGGTATCGGAACCACGTTGTACTGATGATGACGGACTGGCCTTTCCACTGCTAAGGTTGTCGTCTTCTAGTTTGCTACCACCCCCAGAGGAGAACTTGCTCCTCCTGTGGCCAAAGCTGCTGCTGTAGCGACTGATGGGTGCAGGTTTTGGTGAGCTAGATGCAGACGAGGTGATGGCGGCCTCGTTGGGCAATGAAGGCGCTCGGAGAGCAGCCTGTGGAAGGGCATTTAGAGAGGTGCGGTTGCGTGGTTGATGGAGCGGACTAGGGGTGACATTTCGGCCTAATGAGCTGCCCGGCCGTCCCAAGGAGCTAGTGGGCGAACCAGGAATTCCACCTCCAGGTGCTGGCGACGACGAGAGCGAGCCGGCTTTGAATGGCTGGAAGGAGACGGATGTTCGCCGCTGATGTAGAGGTGTGTCCACCGAGCGCAGCGAGGACTTGGAGCCTTGTACAGTGCGATGGTTTGGTGGCAGTTTTTGTGGTGGTGACTCTGTTGGTGACGACGACGGCATATCTCGAACTGCGCGGAGGGCTGAGATTGGGCTGGTGCCTGTGGGCGGGCCGACTTGGTGAAATGTCGAAAGGCTGCCGTATGCTTGACCAATGTCGGGGGTCTCCTGGGCATTCATTTTATCCACGGGGAGCGAGCCAGGCATCTGGCGGGCTTTTTGCTCAAAATAAGTATCATCCAAGCCCATGAATTGTGAGCTCAAAAGCGATTCCGAGTTTTCCACTGTGAACTCGCAGTTGGCACGATATTCAACCGTTACAAACAAAGGGCCGACGGGCGAATTTGTAGGCTCAATGTTTTGGATCTCTGTAATTTCATCTGGGCTTTGGTTTGGGTAGAGAGGCAGTCGCAGGGTATCGACATGCGGGCTCCGGAAGTCTCCATTGGATATGCGGTAGTTGAGTTTTAGAGAAGGAGCAGTGGCGGGCTGTTTGGCGAGAAGCTTGTTGTATCTGAATGCTGGCATAAAGCGAAGGGAGGCAAAGAGCGATCGGAAAGTGACAACGGCTTTTTTGTAAACGTTGGGGAGCGGGTCATTGAGTTCTGACGGCTGTACTGAACTCTTATCTCCGACGTGCACTCTCCAGCGCTCGAGCACCACCTGCGTGGGCTTGGCAGCACGACTTGAATATCCAGCAGCGGCGTCGGCAGAGTTGAGCGCAGTGGCAACATCCCATTTCTTCCCATCGTCGTCCTGAATGGCAAGGGACTGTGTGTGTCCGAGAGCTTGTATGTCTAGGTAGATGTCGATACAGAGGGACGGGTGTTGGCCGGCCATGGCGTCCATGACTTTCCAGTCGGTCAGCTGGCGCTGGAGGGCGTCGCTATCGGGGAGAACAACATTGAACTGAGAAGAGATTAGTACATGGAGCAAGTGGTTTGGGGAAGGAGAGGGTGGTGTAGCATACCCATTTGTTCTGCTTCAGATTGCCATCCTTGTTGTACCCTGGGGGTAGGACTACTCGCGAGGATATGACGGCAAGAGCAGCCTTTGTGAAGAAGTTCTGAGTAAGAGAGAGAGAGAGTCAGCATAGGTACAAAGGACATGGCTTCGGGGGCAAGGCTAGGTACCTGGATTACTTGGTTGACCTTGTGGTAGTGCTTCTGGTCGGACTGGGCAGGGTGGTCTCCTCCTCGCGACATCATTTCGCCCTCGGACTCGTCGGCGGCTCGGTCAGAGTAAGGAGGGGTTGTTGAGTAGGTGGGCATGTCCATGGAGGTATGCCGCTGGTTGTTTGTTCGCGTGGGGTTGGTCTGGAGGTTGTTGGCGGGTGAGGCTGTCCTGGGCGAGGGGCGCGAGTAGGGATTCATGGCGGCAGCCTCTTGCAGGTACCGGAAAGCAGAGAGAGGACTTCAGGCGACGAGGCTGACGGTCGGGGTGCAGGTAGGTTAGGTAGGACGGTTATCGTTGCGGCGGAAACAGGCGAGCATGGATGCGCGTAGCCATCACGAGTTCAGGCAGTGTCAGGTTGGCGCCGGGGCAGTCAGAAGTGTCTCTCAGGAGACTGGAGCACGCGGGGTACTTGTGGACGCAGGCAGGAAAGCAGGCAGACAGGCAGACAGGTAGGCGGGCGGGCTCAGGCAGCAGCCATGATGTAGAGCGACAAGAGTGGGCGGGCGAGGGTTGTTGGGGCGTGTGCTGGCTCGGGCGAACTTGGAGCTGAGCACCTGGTTGGGACAGACGAAGGGCGGCGATGCGATGCGCTGCGATGCACCACCACGACACGGCCAAGGTGTGAGTGCAAGTGCGAGAGAGGAGCAGCAGCAGCAGCAGGCAGGCAGGCAGGTGACGGCGATGATGCTTAGTAGGCGGGGGGAGGGATTTTGTGTCAGTGGTCAGGGCAGTCGTGGAGTCAAGCAGTCACGCGGCGAGGGTGGAATGACGAGTGAAGGCGAGAGAGAGAGTAAGTAGAGCTAGGCTAAGCTCGAGAGCAGCGATAAAGCTATCGGAAGCTCCAGGAAGGGAAGCGTGCAGGCACAGACAGCGCAACAAATGAGTCGAATCGAAAGAGTCAAAGGTATGCAAATGCAAATAAGCAAGCTTGACCCCGGTCTGGGGTAATTCGGCATGGTCCTGGGTCTGGCTCAGGCTCTGGCTCAGGCTCAGGCTCAGGCTCAGGCTCAGGTTCCTTTGCTGTTTGTTCTGTCTGCCTATGGCTCGTCTCTGCTCTGCTCTGCTCTGCTCTGCTCTGGGTGTGGGTGAGGTGCTGGAGAGCGCTAGTGACGCTCACGTACAGCTGCTGCATGGGTCCGAATCGGGATGCAGCTGATCGCGCGCCATCTTACCGGCCTGCTGCGAGTGCGCACATGTACATACGTATGTACTGCACCCATCTAGCTAGCCCTCGCCATCTATCTCCCTCGATAATTCACCTCTTTATCAACCAACCCTCCATCATCACATGGCCTCGTCGCTCGGCCATGCCTGGTCCCCGCCAACGGCACACAGGCTCAGCACGCCATCTCTTCATCGTCTCTAGCCATGCAGCTGCGTGTGCCGCTTCACGATCTGACCGGTCGCACAAGATGGCCGGCTCGTCTGGGCCTAATCTGTATACATACACCCGTCGCCGGTCAGTTGCGGCGACGCACCAGTGATAAGGGACGAGTCGCTCGTTGCCAGCAGTTGAGTGCATATGCGTGGCGAGGCATGGCATCCATCCATATCTCCATGCCTCCCTCCTCCATGCTTCCATCTCGTCATCCACTGCCTGTTGCTTTTGCTATCGATACGCGGCTTGGCGCCTCCCCCAACAACCACTTCCTCGCCTACCCTACCCATGCATCCCACACGCAAGGAACCCAAGACGTTGAGCACCCACATGTTTCGGCATCCACACAGCCTCACTTTGCTTCGTCCATTGCTTTTACTATATCGTGAACCCCTGGCTGGTCGGCACCACCCAAAGTCTGCCCTAGCCTACCATAGTACCTCGCAGCACCCTGGCCAAGTTCACCCTGCCAACTGCTTCTAGCTCCCTTCCAACTCTACCCCGAACCCTACTACAACCAAGCCGCCGCACGTAGCTGCTTCACCGCCTGCCAATGTGGAGCAAAGCGTGCGCTGTATATATTCTTCGTGTCGTCACCCTCCCATGCCTGTCTGCCTGCCTGCCTGCCTGCCTGCCTGCTGCTACTGGTGCTACTATTGCTGCTGTCCCTGTCCCCCTCAAGCCCACCATCATCCCCTCCCCTGTCGCCATGTCTGCCACCCGAGGTCGGAGGGTCTGGTGACGCCAAAGCCATTGCCGCATACACCGTAATCGCTCTTTGCCGTCGGCGCTCCATGCAACGTCGACCTTCGAGAGCAGCTTGTGGAGGAGAGGCCATCTCCTATTGGTCAGTCGTTGATGACCTGCCGTAGAGACATGCCCGCCCGCCATGCGCTTCACAACCACAGTGTCTTTGCGACTTGCTTCTATAACTCATCTCCTTCGCCTCCATCCTCCAACTAACTAGCCCAACTATTCGCAAAGTAGAGAGTGCTCCCCTCTGACTCATCCATCTTCGACGTTCGCGCCCCTTCGACTCATCATTCCTCTCGCTATCGCCTCGGTAGTTTCGTCATCGATACCATCGCTCTAGCACCATCCTATCTTCCCACACCCAATTCGCACCCCGCCACCCGCGCCTTGCCCTTTGCCTCCCCAACCCATTCGCGCCCGCCCAGCAAATACTATCGTGCCGCTGTACTCTGTACTCCTCCACTACCCGTCTACTACAGATACTGAACAGAAATCACCAATTTCCTCGCGACGAATTGCCACCTTGCCCCTTCCATCCGTGCGCCCACCAAACCACCACCGCCCCTTCCTTACACCCTACGCACTCCACGCCTCCGAACCCTCTACAAAAATTTAGACTTGACGGCATAAATTCAACCAAGTAGTCGCCTTCGGCACCCCCCTCTCCCCGAGTCGTCCAGAGCTTTACAGCGAGCACCTTTAAATACGCTTTGACCCAACGAGGTTGAGGCCAGGTGCTACTCGTAAAAGCTTCGGATTACTCCTTCCTCCAACCAGCACATGAGCGGCTATCTCTGGAAATACTTTCTCGAAGATGATGTCGACAGCTTTCGGCATGTCCTCGCAACTCCCACGCATACCAACCGGCCGGCAGCACAGAAAAGCCTGAGTGGCTGGCAGGCGAGCGCATCTCCTGCACCTATAAATGGCAGTCCGGGTAGCTATAATGCTTCTCCCATGACAGCTGCAAAGGCTCGGAGAACGGGCATGGGCGCAGCCGCCGGCTTGAGTCGCTTTGACATCAACAGTCGCGATGCCGCAGGAATGACTATACTGCATCATGCCGCCTCATCCATGGCCGACAGTGCCGTCGATTTTGCACAAGCACTGCTAGAGCACCCATGGACAGACTTGTACATTCAAGATACCGAAAACGGCTGGACCGCCCTCCATAGAGCCTTTTACTTTGGCAACATTGCCATTGCACGCCTGATCTTGAACAGAGATGCGCAAGATATCTTAGGCCAGGGCTCTAGCGGATTCAACCAGCATGCTCGTGGACTTGTCAAGATCAAGGACAAGGAGGGATATGGTCCCTTGGACTTGTTCTCCATGACCATCAAAGACCGGACTTTACGCCCGGAAGAGTGTCCTATCCTCGATTCAGATTCGGATGATGAATTGGCTCACGGAGACAGCGGTGACGTGGATGACGAAACGCGCAAGAGGCTGATTGCTCCACCTGTCTCGCTTGATGGCGATGAAGTGTACACATTTGGCAGCAACAAAAATGTAACCCTTGGTTTTGGGGACGAGGATGACCGGCAATTCCCTGAACGCATTACTTTGCGCCGACCAGATCACCTTCTGCAACGTTTCTACAAGGAGCACCTCGACCAGCAAAACCAACATTTTGCAGCTATGGGCATTCCAACCCAGGATTCAAGCTCCCAACCGCGCAGTACAGTAGATTTACCGATACACATTCGAAACACTCCAATAGTCATTCAAGATGTTCGAATGTCCAAGTTGCACACCGCTGTACTAACAGCAGATCCAATTTCTAATCTGTACATGTGTGGCCATGGCCCAGGTGGTCGCTTGGGCACAGGCAACGAAACTACGAGGTATCAATTTACCTGTATTGAAACTGGGGGATTGGCACAGAAGCACGTTGCCGCCATTGCTCTGGGGCAAAATCATACTTTAGCAATTACAGAAGAAGGCGAAGTCTTCTCATGGGGCAACAATGCTTACGGACAACTTGGTTATGCATTGCCCAAGCCAGCTGTGAAAGATGACGACCCAATCTCGACCATACCACGACAGATCTTTGGACCGCTCAAGCGCGAAATCATTACAGGCATTGCCGCATCGCGAATACATTCAGTTGTACACACAGCCACCTCCCTGTACACATTTGGCAAAAATGAAGGTCAGCTGGGGATTGTCGATTCAGACGCTCGTTCGTTAGGAATGCAAGTCATTCCTCGGAAGATTGCCGCTGCACTCTTCTCCAGTCCTATTCATTCGGTATCGGCCATCGACGGCGCAACAATATGTCTCTTGGAGAATCGCGAAGTTTGGGTTTTTGCAAACTATGGCTACGCAAAAGTCAGCTTTCCTTTGGATGGATTCACCAGCAACTTCCTCAAAGAAAGCTGGTTAACCACAAAGTACGACACTGCACCCAACAAAATCAGCAAAATAACTTCAGGAGGAGACACCATATGTGCACTGTCCACTTCGGGCGAAGTCTTCACTGTCGCCGTCAGCCGACGCTCCGAGTCCTCGCAAGACTCCAGTACCTCTACAACAAATCCTAAACAGATCAGGGGAGCCCTCTCTGCGCCTTTCCGAATTTGGTCATCTAAGAAGAGTCACATGGCAGCAAGGGATGTGGACGTAGACCAGGATGGATCCATTATATTGACGACTGAAGTTGGCAGCGTCTGGAGACGCACAAAAAGAGCGACCATCAAAAACGCGGCAGTCACAGCTGCTGTCGAAAGCAAACCAAAAGACTACAAGTTCCAGCGGGTTTCAGGTCTTACTCGAGTTATTGCTGTCCGGGCTTCTGCTTTTGGCGCATACGCCGCGATACGCAAAGATTGTGATGTTACCCGGACACAGATAGGTGTCGATGAAGCCAGTCTGTGGGAGAATTTCTCTCCTTTGCTGGCTTTCCATGAGTTGACAAACTATGAAGAGACATCAGACGATGAGGAGCCTGCACCGAGGTTTTGGACAAGGGGCGCAGACGCACAAGGCCTTCGCAAGCGAGTTCTCAAGTCTAAAGATCTAGAAAGCGAGACAACAGAGGTTGTGCAGCGTTCGTTGGTAGCATCCGACCGCTCTTATAACATGGAGGTTGGATCTACTCTATCCGATGTCCGCATCCCTGTGCATGAGTTTATTCTGGCTGGACGCAGTCGCATCTTGAGGGATGCTCTACTCGACTTTCGTGTCAAAGGCTCTGAATACACCATTCCGGATTTATTGATCATAAAGGAGGAAAACAAAAAGCTCGTCTTGATATTCCAAGGTATTGACTTCTTAACCGTTTTCAACTTGGTCCTGTACGCCTACACTGACTCAGTTGTCGATTTCTGGAACGTCACTCGCCACTATCCTACCATGGCACACAGATATCGCGCTGTGCGGACTGAACTGATGAGAATTGCTCTACGTCTGGAAATGCGACAGCTTGAACCTGCTGTGCGACAGATGGTACATCCGCGAAAGTCTTTGCACGTGGATATGGAATTGGCCATCAGAGACCAATCTTTCTTCGAAAGTGGTGATATCATTGTCGATCTTGCAGATGGTGAAATGTTACTACATTCGGATGTCATTTGCCAGCGCTGTCCCTTTTTCGAGGGCCTGTTCAGAGGACGCGCTGGTGGTCAATGGCTTGCAGGAAGACAGAACGACGAGTCTTCTCTGATCCACATCGATTTGACTCACGTCGAGACGCGTCTCTTTGAACTTGTGGTGCGCCACTTGTACACAGACGCTGGCGAAGAGATTTTTGCGGATGTTACAAGCGAAGATCTCAACGACCTGCTGGCCCTCGATGAACTGCTCGACCATGTCATGGACGTCATGTCTGTTGCCAATGAGCTGATGTTGGAACGTCTCTCGCAAATCTGCCAGAGATTGATTGGCCGTTATGGTATGTTGACACAGCATCATTCTTGCACATCATCGCTAACCTAGTCACAGTCAATGCTCGGAATGTTTGTTCTCTTCTTACAGCAGTCGCACCTAGCTCCGTGGCAGAGTTCAAAGATGCTGCTCTCGAATATGTGTGCCTCAGTCTGGAAGCGGTGATGCAAAATGGCTCTCTGGACGAACTGGACGAGGACTTACTGCTAGAGCTCAACCTGGTCGCTCATGAGAACCAGCTTGCCTATCTACCATTTGCACGAAGTGGGCGGGCTGAGACTCTTTTGTTTGATCGGTACCCGGAGCTTGCCGAAAGGATTGAGCGAGGGAAGCGCGCCAAGATTGATGCAATAGTGTTGTCGAACAAATATGCGGAGAGCGAGAATATACCGAGCTCTTTTCGAGCACAGAGTCTAGAAGAGGTAGCGGCCTCACCTCTCCGCCAGCGTAACAAAAGGCGGGTGTCCAAGGAAGTCAAGAGTCCTACGCTGGCTCCCACGCTCCAAGGCAAGTCTTCTGCCCAAGACTTGATGTTTGAAATGTCGGATGGGGAGGAAGAAACCGACATCCCCAAGAAAATTAAGCCTCCACGCTTCACCGAAGAGGGCGAGGTCGAGAGAGGAATTGAAACACCCATCGGGTCCCTCGAGTCGCCCTGGGGATCTGTTCAGAAGCCGAGCCGGCCACCACTGCAAAGTATTGTAGGAGACGGGGACATACCTCTCAAATCTGTTAGTCCTTTACCACCACCTGCCATCAAGGATACAAGGCCGCCCGATCAACCTTGGGGCACTGCACCACTTGCAGGCCCCAAGCTTGACCTCAAAGACATAATGGCCCAGGATTCTTCAGCTACTCCTTCGAACCTATCGCTCGGATTTTCTCGAGGGGAGAACGAACGTATTGCCAAGGCAGCACATACAAAACTTTCTCAAAAGGAACGCAAGCGCCTTCAACAGGCTCAGCAACTCGGCACATCAATCGAAAAAACACAGCCTGCGCCGCCAGCTGTATCGCCATGGCAGGCTGCTGCGCATCGGAAACCAAGCGCCCCTCCAGTCATATCTCCAGTAGCACAACCACAGCCTAAGCCTTCGCCACAGCCTTCACGTGCCTCCAGCACACCTCAGCTGACCATGCGCCAAACCGTTGCGAACAAGGGAGGGAACTCCAAGCAAAAGGAAAAGCGTAAGGCATCCCAAAGCCAAGAGGCGCTCGGCAGTGCATCTCCTTCAAAGACCCATCCTGCAGCTTCTGAGCGAGGAATGTCGGTTTCAACAGACCCAATTCCTACACCTCGATCTGTGCGCCATATCCCTCTGCCCCAACATTCTCCCACCTCGCCCAGCCAGCATCTTAGCATGATGGAGATCTTATCACTGCAGGAGGCTGAAAAGACCTCAATACGCGATGCAGCGGCAAAGCGTAGTCTTCAAGAGATTCAGCAGGAGCAAGAGTTCCAACAGTGGTGGGATCAAGAAAGCAGGCGCGTTATCGAAGAAGAGGAGCAGACAAAGCGCCTAATAGAGCGATACTCTAAAGCTGCCGGTCAGGGCCGAGGCAAGGGGAGGAATCCAAAGGGAGCCAAGGCAAAAGGGCAGGAAAAGAAAGATGACGGGGAAAACGCCACACGCGGCAAGGGAAAGAAGGAATCAAAGCCTGGTCTTCCTCCTGCCTCTACCAGCGAGAACCCGCAACCCAAGCCACCCGTAAAACAAGACGGTGCCAGCCGAGGCGGCCGAGGAAGAATCGGTCGTGGCGGGCGCGGTGGCTCTAGAGGCGGACGCGCTCAGGGAATACCAAGAGATGGTGCCGCGCAGCAAGGACCGGTTGCGACGGCGTCGCAGCCTTGAATTCGGAAACCCTATTTTTGTAAATATGTAGAACTGGGTATATCGAAAACATATATGTTTTGTTTTATCTTGTAGTGCTCACTGCAACAAAGGTCATGTATAAAAATTCACATCAATGTCTGAATCTCGATATTGCATCTTTCAAGTACCAAAGCTACATTCAACATCATTGGCACACCAAGCCGTTCACATTCACATTTGTATTCCGAGCCTTTCAACATTCAATAAAACAGTCTGATTTTTTTTTAAAAAAAAACAAGTAAAATTTCCTATTATACACATTTACACACCCATCCATGAAGCCGAAGTCGCTTTTCTTTTTTCTTTTCATCCTCTCTCCCTCCCATCCCCCCCTCAGTCTTCTTCGTTGTAACTTTGCTCGCAAAAATAAACGCATGAGGGTTCAATCTTGTCTCATCAAAAAAAAGAAGAAGAGATTCCTCGCATCGAATCCCGAAAAAAAAATTGAAGTCGGAGAAGAGAATAAGAGCCTTGCACCACACACTCTTCTCACCCACCCACAATCGGTACTATGCTTGATCTTGACATCCAGCAACTCAAGCAATACCGGGAGGGGTAACCTCGATACTAACCAGGAAGCATCCGCAATGAACCTGATAACTATCTGCTCGTAACTAGTAAGTTGCGGTAGTAGCTTGTGCTAAGATCGATCGAGTGTTTGAGCCAGAGATCTTCTGTAAGCGGAAGTTTGAGAATGGAATTGCGGTTTGTGCGCTGTGGGATTATTAGTCTTTGCCCACATTTGATTATGAAAGGGTTAAAAAGGGGAAAACGTACCTGGTTCTTGGTGATGAGGTTTGCGACGGTACCAGCAATGTCCATGAGAGCGACACGTTCTTCAAGTCCACATGCACCGAGTCTGTCACGGCCGGCGATTTCGAGGGCGCGCTGGAGCTTGACGAGGAGTTCTTCGACGCGGTTCTCGAGTTCCTCGTCGACACGGTATGATGAGCGTGCACCGGTCAGGTCGATTAGCTCGATGTAGTCGAAGTAAATTTGTCCGCCTTGGGCCCAGCCTTGGACTGGCTCCCGTGGAAGAGGTACGTTTGACTCTGCGACGAAGCCGGCCATGAGCTCACGCAGGGCGTCGTAATCGCGGGAGATGATGGCTTCTGGACCGACCTTCCTGCACAGCACCTCGTGTGCCTCTTCAAACTCATCGGCCTTGATGAGATGAGTTGCTTCACGAAGAGCATCGCCACTCGACTTGGCGTGCAGAGCGGCGGCTGCATGGAGCCATGTTGAAGGGACATGGAGATCTGCTGTGAGGTGTGCATAGGTCGGGTTGCTGTCTTCCAAGGAGAACAGACCAGAAAACTGGGTGACTAGAGAGCGGATGTAGTGCTCACGCATCGGCGCAAAAGACAGATGAGTATAGACCCAGATTGCAGTCGTCCAAAGCTCTGGTGTGTGTAGCGAGGATGCATAAGTGAGCGTGATCTTATCGTTCAGCTCCACAAGCGAATCCGCTGCTTGGACGTCGTCCGCAGCACCTGGTGCAGTCCATGACTGCAATGAGCGGCGGAATCGGTCATCGCTGTCATCTTCGGAGCGGACTGTGGGCATGACCACCTTGCGTTCATCTGCCTCGCTGACGTCTTCTTGTCGCGACTTGAAGAGCTGGAACAGTTGGAATGAGAGTCGAGCGTTGAAGGGGTTGCCAGAGACGTTCTCAGGAGCTAGAATATTCTCAATGTTCGCAGGGAGGTCCATCTTCGCAGAGGCATAGAGCTTCAAGATACCCCAAAGGAGGTCTTCTCGATGCTCTGGAGCAGGATCTTTCCAGCCCATGTCAACCTTATCCTTGACGAACCAAGGGACAGGCTTGACAACTTCCCTGCCATCCCTGACTGCATCCGCAAATTGGGCGATGGCCATTTCGATAGGTTCATTGGCAAGCGTGCCGTACCACAAGCGCAGTCCAAAAGCGCGCCGCCAGTCGAGACCGAAACGATTTGAGATGTTAAAGGTAGAAGCCCGATTTTCACTGCCTGCTCCAGTCTTGCCCTCTGATTGCGTGCAGTTGCCAGCAAGAAGCTCGTACAATGCCCGGTGAGCATCTTCCATTTCAGAAAGTGTATCAAGGCGACGCCACTCATCAATTTGAGCAGACATGCTCTGCCTCATCGTCTCATCACCTCCAATCTGAGCAATCATCGTAGCAAGTCGGAGGTCCAGGCCGTCGAGCAGAGTATGGCAAGCGTCAGCAACACTGTTGCAGCTTAGATGCGCAAGAGCACGCTCCTCGGGGGATGTAGCCGCTTGGACATGTTTCTGTGCATCGTCCCATACCAGAAGCCTCCAGAACTCCGAAAGCCTCTCCTTTCGATACAACTTCATTTCCTCCACTTGGATACCCGCAGGGACCCTGTCAGCATCATCAAACAAAAGCGAAAGCAGCTGCCAAGTCTGCTGCTCTTGAACACCTGCAGTGGTATCAAGTGCAACAGCTTTCGCCATGCTGGAAAATTCCACTGGAGCAGGATCGGTCATGAGCTTTGCAGAGGGAATGCCGGTTGGAGTGTAAATCTTTGTGTGTTGTTTCTGGACAGTGAGAGTTTCGGGTACAGCCTGTGGTTGTTAGTACGCACTTTCTGGCATTATGCATTGCTCTCCACTTACATCGTTGAACGTGGGCATTTTTGCAAATCGGATGTCCTTGGTAGCACCAATAAGTGGTTCTTGAGCAGTGGGAAAGATACCGCCTTCGAGATGCGCGGGACCCTTGTTGCCGTAGATCAGGATGTTTCCTTCGCTGAAGTGTGGTTTGCTGCAGGCATAAAAGTCTTTTTCGGTCTCATTTAGCTGGTCGAGGTCGGATGAGGTCTTTGGGCGCTTGGAATAAGGTAACTAAAGAAAAATGTTTCAGCAATCTTGTCCATTCATGACTACATACGTGGGCGGACGTAAGGTCCAAGCGTCGATCTATGAAGGAAAGCCGTATAGGAAACCTGCCACAGACCACGCCCCCATTATATCAAAACGCCAAAGGGGAAGGGAAGTCAAACCTCAATACCATGTCCACCACGCTTGGAAAATTGTTGCTTTTCCGTCTCACCAAAAAGCGAGTCCATGAGATCCATGGCTGTAGTCATAGGACGGCCACGAAAAGACTGCGAGAAGTTCGTGGGTTGGAGTTCTTGTTCTCGCAGAACATGGCCCTGACTTTCACGAAGGGCCTGTCGATCTTGCTTCTTGGGACTAATCGTACGTTGTAGCTGATTTGCCCAATCGTCATCGAACACTGGCTGTGCTTTGGAAGGTGTACCTGTTGCCGGCTTGAGAAATTGACCAGCCTTGAGAATAGATTTTGGCATCAACGAGCCTCTGGAAATCTCATCCTTGGCGGCGAGTTGCTCCGTGGTTTGAATTGGGCTCGACGCAGAATCCGCCATGTTCTGGTCACGCGCCAATTCCGATTCGCTTTCTTCATAATAGTCAGCGTCATGCTGTCTATCAAGCGAACCCACGGAGCGCTGCCCTAAAAAAGACTCGCCGTGGGTGTCTTGCATCTCTTCCTCATCATCATACAGAGTGTCATCTCCAAAGCCACCTGGCACGTTAGTACGCCCTCCACGCATGCCTTTCTTGAAATCAAAGGTGTCGTCAGGGCTAGACTGGGTGGGACTGGCAAATGAATCGTCCTGTGGCGTGCTGGTCATTTGGCTTGAGCGATGCTGCTGATCTAGGGGTGTATCTGGGACATCGCTAAACTCACTGGAACCATCCTCATCCTCATCCTCGCTGTAGTCATCATAATCCAGACCGTACGACGAGAAATGTGGGACGGTGAAGGTCCATTCACCAGTAGCTTGGTTGTAGTTGACAAAAGTAGTTCCAGCAACTCGCTTTAGTCGCTCCAGGTGCTTGACATCTTTCTTGCCAGCCCTGTTGCGCGGCCAGGAATTGCCAAGAACAATCAGAGAGGGCTGGTTCAGAGCAGAACCAAGCGGAGGCTTGGGCAGACAGGTGCAGGTCTCGCCGTAGACAGTGGCATTTCGTGGGTTGAGCTGAACAATGTCGCCGAATAGCTTGTCGAGGTTGACTTCAGATAGATCGACAGGCTTGCCATGGTTGAACTTGATCTCACCAATGTGCTGACGGCCCACAATGAAGTTGGGGACGCTCTTCAGCTCCTGCTTGCTCATCTTCCTCAGTTTCTCCATGGGTGGGCTGGACCAGTACTCGCCCGGCTTAGGGTCTTGTCCAGGCTGGATGTTGACCGATGACATCGACTTGGGGGCAAGCGCATTGTCTTCGTAGACACATGCGAGTTCCGTGCCGTTGACCTTTTGCATTTCTGAGGGAGAGTTGTCGCTGCTTTCATCATGGCTTCCTGCCTTGGGTGAGCCCTCCTCCTCATCCTGCCTGACAATCAATGCAGTCTCGCCGTTCGTGTTGCCGTTGACAGTCTCACCCGCAGCAAAACTGACACGCTTCTGCGATGGCTCATCAAATAGTGGAGTACGAGCAGCATTGATGTTGCGGTTAATGTTAAGTCGCTTCAGACCACTATTGCCAAAGTTGCGTCCGGTGGTCGAGAATGCACCCGGAGCCAGAATGCTAGTGTCAGCAGCGAAGTTATTGCGGAGATTGCTAGAAGATATGCTTTTTCCAAGTGACCGGGAAAGACCACCGTTGGCAAAGAGGCTTCCACCCAAGTTAGGAGTGCCAGCCTGGCTGGAGGCAGCTGAGCCGCCGTAGGTCGAGTAGCTGAATCCATAACCGCCTCTCTTAGCCTGCGGGGTCAGGAGGCGAGTTGATGCAGCCGGATTGAGCTTGTGCTGAGGCAGTATAGCATTCTTCTTGTTCTTTTGGCTGCTGGAAAGCGGGGTAGCAAGTGGGCCTGGGCTTTGAGTAGGAGTTCCCAGTCCAGCAAACAAGGCGTCGTTGCCATAGGGGTTGGTGTTCATGGAAGTGTTCAGCAGAGAACTTCCTGAGGCGCCGAACAAGCTGTTGCCGTTCTGCTGTTGTTGTGGCTGCTGGTTCTGACTGGAGAAAAGAGAGCCTCCCAGGGTTGACTGCTGGTTGTTGTTTTGCTGGCCGAGACCGCCGCCAAACAAACCGCCGCCAGTGTTTGTGTTGGTTGTGGAACCGCCAAACAGACCGCCAGGCTTCTGCTGATTGTTGTTCTGACCACCAAAAAGTCCGCCTCCAGCGCTGTTTTGCTGGTTGCTCTGTGTACCGATGTTTCCGAACAGACCTCCCCCAGACGTTCCTGTATTAGAAGTGTTGCCACCTCCAAACAGGGAAGTACCGCCAGTAGCAGGCTTCTGGCCAAAGAGACCGCCTCCAGTGCTGTTATTGTTCGCAGTAGAACCTCCAAACAGTCCGCCACTAGCAGGCTGGTTCTGGTTCGTTTGGCCACCGAAAAGACCGCCTCCTGTAGTGCCAGTGCTTGCGCCGCCAAACAGACCACCCGGCTTTTGCTGGTTCTGTTGGTTGTTCTGACCGAATCCACCACCACCAAAGAGACCGCCAGAAGTGGTGTTTTGCGTCGAAGCTTGGTTGTTCTGTCCGAACGCTCCACCAGTAGTGCTACCACCGCCAAACAGGCCACCGCCAGTGTTGGTAGCAGTGTTGGTAGCGCCAAAGGCTGGTGTAGAAGAGGCCTGGTTGGATTGGCCGAACAGACCACCACCGGTGTTGTTGGATTGACCGAAAGCGCCACCAGTGTTCGTTGAGCCACCGAATGGGGTCGAGGCGGTGTTAGTAGTGCTGCCGCCACCAAAAAGACCACCGCCAGTCGCAGGCTTGTTTTGACCAAACAGGCCACCACTGTTAGTAGTCGACGACCCGAAGCCACCGCCTCCTGATCCAAAGCCTCCTGTAGTGTTGGTAGTAGATCCGCCACCGAAGAGACCACCGGTTGTTCCGGTCGAGGTGTTGTTTGTGGAACCGAAGAGTCCTCCAGTAGCAGGCTTGCTCTGTCCGAATAGACCTCCACTAGCGTTGTTGTTAGTTGAGCCAAAGGCTGAACCTGTGTTTTGACCAAATGCAGACGTCGTAGTAGTGTTGCTGCCACCGCCAAACAAGCCGCCACCGGTGTTGTTGGTTGCGCCAAAGCCTGTGGAGCCAGTGGTGGCGGTGTTGCTACCAAAGCCTCCGAATCCAGTACTCTGCCCGAACGCTCCAGCCTGACCATTGCCATTGCCATACCGTCGGCCTTGGTTGTAGTCGGCTACACGCAGTTCTTCCAGGGAGTAGTTCTGGTATGGCTGCTGAAAGGTGATGGTCTGGTATTGCGCGTTGCCGGTGGTTCCATCTTTTTCGGAGAAAGGTTGGAAAGGAGTGTTGGCGGTACCGTTGTTCGCAGGAGGATTGCTGCCTCCGCCAAAAGCGCCGCCAGTGTTGGAACCGAAGCCGCCCGTAGTAGCGGTGGTGTTGGTTGAGCCAAATCCGCCGCCAGTACTGCCACCCCCAAATAATCCACCACCTCCAGTCGTTGAAGTGCCAAAGCCAGTCGTCTTGTTCTGACCGAAGAGGCTGCCTCCAGTGTTTGCGGTATTGCTGCCGAAAGCTGAGGTAGTGGTGTTGTTGGTTGATCCAAACCCTCCAAACGTGCTGCCGCCAGTAGCGCCACCACCTCCAAAGAGACCACCGCTTGTCGTTGAGCTGCTGAAAGGCTTTGAGCCAAAGGCCGTGTTGGTGTTGGTATTGGCGCCAAAGCCACCTGGAGAGTCAAGTCAGTTTCTGATCCGGGCCTTTCTTCAATATATCGATCCACGCGCGAAGTAGGTTGTCTCGCAATCGATCGTTCGAGCGCGCAACATGGAGCAGTCATATCGAGCGAAAAGATTCAAGTCGGCGAAATCGCAGGAATCCAACGATGGACGCGGCGGCAGAGGGCAAACTTTCCACATACCTCCGCCTCCAAAAGGAGAGCTCGAGCTGGCATTGTTGGATCCAAACATTGTGCTGCCCGTAGTGGCATTATTGCTTGCGCCGAATATGCTTGAGCCAGTGTTCGTGTTGGAGCCGAAGCCTGAGGCGTGAGGCACGTTAGACACGGTTCTTCGACAAGGCCGTGGCGATGTCGCGATGCGCATCGAAGGAGTCGCGCGGGAAAGTTCTAGATGATTCAAAAGAAAATATTAGCTTACCAGTCGTGTTGTTATTAGTTGATCCAAATCCGCCGAAACCAGTGGACTGGGTGTTGTTGTTGTTGTTGTTATTGGAGCCAAAGCCCCCGAAACCGCCGCCGAAGGACATTGTGGGTTGTCCAGCGGGTTGCGCGCGTTCTTCTTCTTAGTTGGCTAGCAATGCGCAGGAGAATCGCGTGGGCGCGGGGTAGTTGAAAGGATGAATGTGCAAGGGAGCTCCGGGAGGCAGTCGTTGGTGAGAGCTTCGCGGAAAACGCGCCAAGCAAAAAGCTGCTGAGGGAGCGCTGCGGCGTTTGCGGTAGGCGAGGGAGAAGTAAAGGCAAAAGATTAATGAGAAGAAGCTCAGACGCGGAGCAGATTAAGTAGTGAAATAAGCCGTCATGGAAGAGAAATGCGACGGGCGCGACGAGTTTGGTGGGACAAGCAGAAGTGATGTTGCACTTAGGAGCAAGGCACGTCGGCGTGACGCTAAGCCGCAGGCGGACATCACGTGCATACTTTTTATGTGTTTTTCCCGCCTGGGCTGGTTTCCGCCCGGGCCTAAAAGACGTAGAGATGACAAAGACAGCCGGCGATTGGCGAATGAGACGAAATATCTTCTGGGCGTCGGTTTGGGGCATAAGTGCCTTTTGGATGCCTATAGCTACCTGCGGCTGCCTTGTTGCCTAAGGATGCCCTGCTACCAAACCCGCCCCTGCACACTGATGGCGAAACACTTTGCAGCAAATCAATCGGGCTTGATTATCTGCGGGGGTCCAGTCGACCGTATAAAAGATACGCTAACATGGGCAAACATATGAGACAGCATGCCTGTGCAGTGACAGCCTGTCCATCCTGATGGTAACCTGGCTGGCGTGACATGCGCAGTCTCAATTGGAGCATCGCTGAACACATGATATGGTCGCACAACTTTGAAAACCAAGTTGCAGTGCACAGCCTGATCTCCCACTTACTTTACTTTCCACACTTTCTTTTCTCATGACAACTGTACCGTGCCAACAGACAATAACAACATCCATCTCAGCCCTATCAGCGCCATCAGCCCAAGGTTCCCCACCTGCGCCAGAGGCAAAATCGCGCTAGGCTACACCCAGGCCTGCCCTCTCATACGCCTAAACGCGTCGCGCGTCTGGAGCAACCGCATATCCCCACGTCGGCTGCAAACAAAGGAACAGTTACAAAGCTGCATTGTCGCAACTTGATTTGCTACCAATTCAGCCAGTCCAAACTCTTCAACTCCCATCTGCCCTGTCTGTTACCAGCCTTGTATCCAAACTTGACCGCGGTCGGCGCAACCCGAACACCACCCGCCCACTAGAACAATCCGTAAACACTCCGAACTTGCGCTCCCCCACCAACCCACCGCCTACATCGCAATCTCCTCCAAAACACCACCACCTATGGCTACATCCTCCAACCCCCTCGGCCCCGGCTCCCGCTACGGCCTGGGGCGCACCGCAGCACCCTCGCAACCCGCCGCACAACCCGCCTTCAGCAGCACACCCGCCTACGCCCCCAACCCCAAAAACGCCCAGCGCCTCGAATCCGACCGCCTCGAACGCGAGCGCGCTGCCCGCGAATCCGCCCAGCGCATGGAAGCCTCCGGCGCGGCCTCGCTCGCCGAGCTAACCGAGGAGCAACGAGAAGAAATCGGCGAAGCCTTCAACCTCTTCGATCTCGACAAGGACGGCTACATCGACTACCACGAGCTCAAAGTCGCCATGAAAGCCCTCGGCTTCGACCTCCCCAAGCAAGAAATACTAGCGATTCTCCAACAACACGGTTCGCCTGTGCCATCATCATCATCAGGTCAGAACTCGAAGCAGCCATCGCGACAGCAGCAACAGCAGTACGCGGGTTCCGGTCGCCAATTACTTAGTTTCCAGGCGTTTCAGACGCTCATGGCCCAGAGGATACTGAGTCGCGATCCCAGAGACGAGATCCTCAGGGCGTTTGAATTGTTTGATGAGGGTGGGAAGGGTACCATTACACTACAGGATCTCACGCGGGTGGCTAGAGAATTGGGTGAGGCCCTTTCGCATGATGAGTTGGTGGCTATGATTGAGGAGTTCGACATGGATAACGACAATGCTATAAGCAGGGAGGAGTTTATTCAAATCTGTATGGGGACTTAAAGGACAGGGTGTGGAGATGCGGTTTTGTTTGCAGTGTGCGACGTATTAGTCTTTGCACGGCGTTTTGCGGCGTTGGTTCGCCCATATTCAGATCTGGTTCCATGAGAGTGACATTTTGCCGATTCGGTTTCAAACTTGCTTTGTTTATTTGCACCGAGAAACCATGTATTTACAGCTCAGCTCTTTCAAGTAAACAGCATGCCGAAAAGAAAAAATTCAAGAACTTCAAGAAACATGCTCAATACACACGCGCCCACGTCTACTGTCCGGGCGCGATAAGCTGGCCCTTCTTGGCGGCATCGTGTGCCCAGCCTCCCGCCAATGCCTCACCGCCGTGCTTCAGTCCATAGTCCTTTATCCTAGCCTCAAGCTCAGGTCGGAAATGCCTGATGAGACCCTGCAGGGGCCATGCAAAAGCCTCACCCAACGCGCAGATGGTGTGTCCCTCAACCTGCTTGGTCAACTCTTGGAGCATGTCAATTTCACGCTCGCGAGCCTGGCCCTTGTAGAAGCGGTCCATGATCTGGTGCGTCCACTTTGAGCCTTCTCGGCAAGGTGTACACTGGCCGCAGGACTCGTGGTGGTAGAACTTTGCAAGACGGGTAATAGCACGGACAACGTCTGTCGACTTGTCCATGACGATAACGGCAGCGGTTCCGAATCCAGACTGCGAGTCCTTGAGGGCATCAAAGTCCATAAGTTGGTCGTCGCAGATGTGCTTGGGCAGGATGGGAGTAGAAGAACCACCAGGAATGACGGCCTTGAGGTTGTCCCAGCCGCCACGGACACCTCCGCAGTGCTTCTCAATGAGCTCGCGAAGGGGAATGGACATCTCCTCTTCAACAGTGCAAGGATGATTCACGTGACCAGAGATGGCAAAGAGCTTGGTGCCCTGGTTGCGCTCACGACCGAAGCCGGCAAACCAGCTACCTCCTCTGCGGCAAATGGTGGGCGCAACAGCAATGGTCTCGACGTTGGCAACAGTAGAGGGACATCCAAAAAGACCAACGGCGGCGGGGAACGGGGGCTTGAGACGAGGCTTTCCTGGCTTTCCCTCTAGCGACTCGATGAGGGAAGTCTCCTCACCGCAGACATAGGCACCCATTCCTCGATGGATGTACACATCGAAGTCGTAGCCGGAACCGCAAGCATTCTTACCGATGAGACCGGCCTGGTATGCCTCCTGGATGGCGCGTTGAAGCACGGTGGCCTCGTGATAGAATTCACCTCGAATGTAGATGTAAGCGGCGGTAGCGTTCATGGCACGTCCAGCGACGAGGCAGCCCTCAATGAGCTTGTGGGGATCCTTGCGCATAATTTCGCGATCCTTGCAGGTTCCGGGCTCGCCCTCATCGGCATTGACGACCAGGTAGCGAGGCTTATCATCCTTGTCCCAGTCTTTGAAGTTCATGAAAGACTATGCATGTCAGTGATGCTGTGTCTGCCAGTGCAAGTGGAGCTGCATACCCATTTCAGACCAGAGGGGAAACCAGCACCACCTCGGCCACGCAGGCCAGAAGCCTTGATCTCAGAGATGATCTGTATCTGTTAGCGCAAGCCGTATATTTCCGAGACAGGCATCTCTCCGTACCCAGTCGTGACCCTTGAGGAGGATCTCCTTGGTCTTGTACCAGTCGCCATACTTCATAGCGCTCTTCAAATCTGCGCCATGGTGTCCGTACAGGTTCTGAAAGATCCTGTCCTGGTCCTTCAAGCCGCCGTATGTCCTCTTGGGTGGTGTGTCCTGGACTGTTGCGAGTGTCCTCTTCTGTGTACGGTTGCTGGGGGCCGCGGTTGAAAGGCGAGTGGCTGCTGAAGCCGCGGGCAGAGCTCGGTGTGTGGCCGCGCTGAGCGCCTTCTGGGCAGGAGCGTGTCTTGCGAGCATCGTGAGTGCGGATGGTGTGTTGTCTCACGCAATTGATGCTCGGGGGGCCGGCGAGCGGTCGTTATCGATGCAGGTGGTGGCGGTCGTGAAGTTCGAACTGGATGACCTACTGTTTTCTTGGCATCTCTGATTGGTCCGCGCGACACATCGTTGACATCAATCCGCCAGACCGGTCCGATTTGGCTACACTAATGGCCACACCATCATCAGCACTTTGCATCGATTACGCCAATTGGGCTGCTCGGCTTTGATGGGTGTATGCTGTCAAAATAGTATGTCTGCAATGCCTGACACAGTTTGCGCATGTCTTCGTATCTGGTCAAGAGCCATGTAGCCGGATTCTGAACGCTATCAACCTATATTAACAAACCATCTATACAAGCAAATCATTTGGAAATAGCTGAGAAATAGTGAGCAAAAACCTACGTGTTTCTAGCGAATGGCGTTGATCTTCACAGTCAACATCAAGTTCAAGTCAGGATTCAATTAATTTAAGGTCTCAGTCAAGATTTGTTACCCCATCATCCTGCTTGCAGTATGCAGCTTCATTTAATTAGAGCTCAGTTGTTCACTTCGTAACCAAGATGTGGTTTGAGTTAAGTGCAAAGAAATAAAACGCGTCTCAGCAGAGGAGATCAGCTCATGCGAAAAGGCAACTAGTTCATTGGATCAGAAGACTCTACTAGTCGGATTAGCTATGCTCATCATCACACTACTGCAGCCCCCCTTAGCATGTGTTTGATATCTGTAGGTATATAGCGAAAGCATCTTTCTCCACACCTATTGACATGAAAAAAGCTTTAGTTAGTCGAAATGTTATAACTATCATATATGGCAAATACACTATCATTAGAAGTGGAATGAGTGAGCAGCTGATATTTCACACATCACTATGATACCCTAGACAACACTGCTCACTCTGCATATGACACTGGATACAATCAAAATGCGAAATGTCTCTTATCTCATTTGTCCTAACAGAGTATCAATTCTAGATTCTAGAATCTCATCCAAGTCGCCCTACTAAACATTTATGGTCGAAACAATACTGGTTTCCACCCACCTTGTCCTCGTCATGTCGATCTTTCCAGAGTCAAATCTTGAGTGCAATCTCTTTCATTCAACAGATTCCTTCCATACGCCGCACAAATTCTAACCGATATTAGTAACAGCAACGTCATGTATCACGGAACTGATTCATGGCCTTCCAAGTATAAGTTACGGGTGGCCGCCCACCATTTCAGGCAAAATTTTGTAGCTTGTTGCATGTGCGCATTGAGCGCAAGGAGAAGTGATTGGTGTAAGCAGTGAAAGGGGTGAGTCTTGTCACGTACGCCGCATCCCTGCATATGCGCCTCCTCATATCCTCACACCGATGTGCCTATCGCTTCTGGGAAAGCCAGGGTGTATGAGACTGTTGCCTAGCCTAACAGTGCAAGATTTGGTAGTCATTTGTCGATCTTTAATGCGCAACAGAATCCTGTTTTATTAGGGTGTCTAGTCGGTATCTCTGCCTAACTTCTATAGAGATGTAGTTGCGGAAAATGTACTTTATCTAAAATCAAAAATGTATCACTATCCCATTTCTAATAGATTAGAGAAACTTAAAGAGTACGTAGGAAGTTTTATGTGATGAAAAAACAGCTGTGTTGACTTGGGGTCTAGTCATATACCTCGATTCAACCACTGTAGGCATTGCACAGCCCTTAGAACCGACCACCTGTGGCGCTCAACAATCGTGTTGTTCCGTTTGGCCCCTACCAATTGTACGGCAACCAAGCCCTCTAATCTTCTATACCCCCTAGAGCTGAGGCAAGGTCGTCTTGGCTACAGACTGGATGTATGTGACGCCTACCGTTTGAAGGCACAGCTTAGTGACCGGGGATTAGGAGGATCTCTTCTTGGTTCTGGCCTGACCTTTTACGGTGGCTTGATGAACGTTTCATCGTTGGAGCAAGGGTGAATCCATCCAATAAAATTTGCTCATGTTTATTGAAAATTTGTATCCTGTACAGGGTGCAGCTCCATGTGTGTCCGAATTCGAGACTGGGGAGGTTTCCAAAGGGATTTTCTTTGGGACCCGACTAAGCCTAGTGACCGAGATATTTCTGTTTATTGATTCTTGCAAACTTTCTTTAAAGCAAACCTCTGCTTGCTAAAATCGAGATCTATATCAAGCTTGTGCTCTCTCTTTGATTATATCGCTGTTTCTTCTAACAAAGCTCTTTGAACTAGATCTTTTTCAACTTTGAGTTTCTCTAGCTTTTCGAAGCAACCATGGCGCCCCTTACACAGGCAGAGATCAAAACGAAACTCCTTAAATCTACTGCCACAAGTGCAAGACAATATGAATACACAAACCTTCTTGGGTTTCGTAAACGATCAAAAAGGAATTCACGGCGCGGTGTACAAGGTTTTACAGGTATACCAGGGAACTTCTACAACGAGTCCAAAGATGTGGCAGATGTGATATCAGGACGATACCGATCATTAACCGACCTCCACGAGAAGATCAAAACCCAGGATGACTTTAAGGAACAAGAAGTCGAAGACCTCATCGACAAGTACGGTCCAGTCATCTGGAATGACGGGGCATCAGGCTTTGTGACCGAAACAGACGATCAAGGCGAAAAGTATCAAAGCTACCCACGTTACCTCATCTATGCCGACGAGAGCGATCGTATAAAGTCAGTTACACAGCTTTGTATGGAACTTAGGGTACAGAACTGACGAATTGTTCTAGGATACGGACTTACACCTACTGCCTGGTGCTGCAATGCACGTTTTCCAAGATGAGAGGCCGTCCTGCCCATAATATCGCTGTGCCGGCGGGGTTGCCACACGCATCTTCTCACAGCCCTGAAATCGGGCAGTCAAACGCAACGTCACCAGGCCTAGATACCACGTCGGTCACATCGTTCAGATCCGCAGCTATCAACACCATGTCTTCAGTTTCGAGCGGCGGCAAACGTCCACGGGACGCCAATTATTACCATGCAGCTGTAGCTCAGATGGTTCCCAACACATATACAGGGGGAGCATCTTCGTCTTCTGTCATGCCACAGTCTACAGCCGCCGAGAGCGCTTTCACGATGAGGAATAGTGTCACAGATGCAGATGAGGACGGTCGGTCGGGAGAAACAGCATGTTCAGACGATCCGCGCATACCGACACCGCCTTTGGAACAAGTCCCAAGTCCAAACTCTGATCAAGAGGAAGAAATAGGCGGACGCACTATCCACAACAAACGCCCAAGATATGAGCCAGGGGGAATAGCTCTTACAAACTTTCGATTAGGGCAGTTGCATGGATCTGCAAGAAGAACCACTAGGTTGATGAGAAGAGACTATTCATCTCCCTGGGTGGGGTCGGATAGACCTCCAGTAACCACCATCGACGCTGGAGAGCCGGGGCACACTGAGCCAGCTCCTGACAGTGCTACAAATGATAACTCGAGTGGAATGGCAAGTGTATACACGTCTCATGACAGCATAGACACAGCTCAGGAGTGTGACAATGACGTTATTGTGGTAACAAGCGTCCAAGAAGAACAAAATCGCCTCACACCCTCAACCACACCAGCTCCAGAGACCAGAAACGAGGAAGAAAGCTCAGTGCAGAACTCGCCTAGGCCATCACCGGCGGCTGAAGACCGAGACTCTGCAGAGCCGACCTCCCTGATTGTCACGCTACCCTTAAAGGACCAAACTCAAGTCAAGCTGCGCGACCGCTACCGTGCGTGCCTCGCACTCGCACTCCTTTGCGCCCTCGACCTGCAAACTCAACATACCCAGATCCTCGAAGACACAATCACCCTCATCACCGAAATCAGATCCCCCGACACAACCTACAACCTCCTCCTCGACCAGTGGCTCAGCCTCGTAGCCATATACCTCAGCTTCCGCCGCGCCACAGACTTCCACGACACCCAAGCAGCATGGAACGCGCATCTCTTTTCGCTATCCGCAGTCGAGCGTTTAGCAAGAGACGAGCCCCACCGCCGCGCCAGCGTGTCATTCCAAGAATGGCGCCTCAAAAATCCCTCCTTGACCGTCCCAGTCTGGTCCCGAGATATTACATGCGCGCTGCTCGAAATGGTGCAGTGGCCGCGCCCATTGTGGGCGGACGATGTCCAGGAGATCAACAGGCGGGTGTTGGAATTCAACTTTGGGCTGATGGCGTGGTTGGGCGGATCCTCTTTCTCCTAACAACAATGGAAGTATGCGCGGGCGATATAGTATGCTCATACACCATACACTATTAGAATTTTATAAAAACCGAAAAAAAACGCAGGACAGGAAACAATATTAGTACTTATAGACGCAATACGTAATACTACTTCTTAACTAACAAACTAACCCGCGCATTTCCCATTCCTATCCTTCTCTCCCAAGCCTATACATACTTCGAATCCAAGGCATAAAAATCGTTATACGCGTACAGTATCTAACTTTTTGCCAAGCCGGTACAACAGCGCGCACGAGCCCCGTTTTATTATTATTATTATTATTATTTTGGTTTTACGTCCTGTCTCAGCCGGTGGGCTATATAAGACGTGCAGGCTAGGCCCGCAAGTATCTACGTAGTGCTATCACTTTGGTGTAGGTGGGGGAGGGGGCTATCTAAATCGAGGTGAGGCTCGTAGCCTAGTCTAGAGGGAGGTAGAAGGGGGTCTTGCGGGTAAAAGAGAGAGGTAGGGTGGGTGTAGGGCGAGGCCACCTAGTATAGGTGTTGCCCTAGTTCTCGAGGTTTCCTTTGTGCCAGGCCTGTGTTGCAGCCCTAGTTTCTTCAATAAAGGCAATAGTAGCCTGTATGCCTACGCTCGTGTTTAGCAGGAAGGCTAGCGATAGGGGGTCCTTGCTCGCCTCCTGCATCTTTATCCTAGCCTCCTTATATAGCGTACAGCTAAGGAGGATATGGGTAGGATCTTGAGTAGCTCTATAGTTGCAGGGGCAAACTTTAGAGTCTACTTTGTCTTCGCGTAAAGAGAAAGTCT